ACGGGTCGTGTGCAAATATTATCAGAGTGGCGATTCTGTTGGAACGTTCATCACTTCGTGCTTTTATTGGCGTTAGAAAAAAAATCGGCCAATCGCCGTGCGCCGGCCATTGTCCCGTTCAAATAATCGTAAATTCCGAACGGACAAAATATAATAAATTGCCGATGAGATCTGTGCGAACACTTCAACATATTTAATCCTGCACTCTATAAACTAATGCTAAACCTTTAACGGAAGGGAATAAAGGTCAGAGTTGAATGTTTACGTGTTGACAAGCGATGCGAGTCACTCGTTCGGTCTATATTTGCGTTCGGTACCCTTTGTTGTAGGCTTTTTTCGGTTGTTTCCGCGTAAAGGCTGATAGAACACGTTTTTCAAATCATTAAACAGTTTCAGCCGCGCCGCCCGCGCCCGCACCGCACAGAGCCGCGGTCGGAAAGAGGTTTCGAAAAAAAGGAATCGGGGAAAAAATTGCGTCGACCGCGACCGACCCGGAGTAATCGTTGTTACACCACGATAATGTATACCTCGACACCCTTTATTGGTACTTTTTGAATTGTTTACAATCTATTTTTTAATTTTAGAGGAATGGATAGATGTGTATTAGAGTTTGTAGCCTAAACAGCTGTTTGAATTTCGATGAAATATGTAGAGGATAGTTAAGAAGAACACACTCTTCGCACTTTTGATTTTTGTAATTCCACGTGAACAGTGTCGCGATCAAACCTGATGTGCTACAAAATTAATAAAGGTTACTTTTGGAATAATTCCAAATCACTAAGGAAGTAATTTCAAAATCAACCAATTTCTTTACAATGCTTCTCTTTGTTTTACAATTAAATGACTAATCCATCAGGAATCCATACTGTTCACTAATTCCACGAATTGTGTTTGACCTTCATATGTCAGCAAGTCTTAAGAGTGCGTGGTCGTAGTATAGGTGACGTCACGTGTCAGCAATCGACACCGACAGCTGTACGTAAACACGGGCGTCAGTGTGAACAGAATGTGGACTTTTTGTACACACTTTTAAATGGATTATCTGTTAAATACAGTAATACTAGGTTGATTTTTAAAAATTATCGAATTACGGTTGAAATGTACTTTTTTGGGGAACGGCTTACTACAATACCTTAGTAATTGCAAGAGATGATTAACGCAAGATTTAAGTATGATTTTTAGATTCGTTTTATGACGTTTTTAAGGTGATGGTGACGTTTCCCATCAATGTGAACATAATGCCAGGGGAGAGGTACTTAGCAATATACTATGTTCTGAAAATGTCTAAGCATTGATTGTTCTAAACTAAAACATAGACATAATCTGGAGTGAACACAGGTCCAGATCCCCCCGGACGTCCCCCTCTCCCCGCTAGAGCTCGCGCACCATTAATTCTTGGCCGCCGCAACCCGCTTGCATTTTTTCCATCGTTTTTCATAACGAAAAAAAGAATCGCTTTTCTATATATGCAAAGCGAGTGCCGCGTCTCCGTGTCCGCTCCGCCGTAATAAAGGGATCATACGGAAGTAGGTGCTCCATCTCGGTGCGCATACACGGGATATTCAGCCTTAGTGTATACTGAATTTTGATGGAATTTTATAAAGATGCGGCCATCGAATAAGGATTATTTTACTATCAAGCGAATGCACTATACAAAATATTTGAATTGTAATCAAAATTGCATAGATGCATTCTCACAAACAAAACGTCTAAAGATTCATATTGACGGTCCATGGCTATGAAAGATTTTTTTACTAATAAAGCAAAAGTTGAAATAAATGCGTAGTTAAAATTTTTCTACTTTAATTAAGCAGAACACAGAATTTTATTACCAAATAATTCGATATATTGGGCTGATAAGCTCTTAAATACAAAATCGGTGTAAAATGTGCCCTTCCATAGTCACACTAATTGAGGGCAAGATTAAAGTATCAGCTGATAAGAAATTAAATCTGCGAGGACTCTAATAAATCAAACGTCTATCTTATTAGTAAAAATATTCTATTAGGACATATCCGTTATTATCCTAAATTTTGGTTAACGTAAACATTTTGAATTTCTATAATATATTGGGGTAATACGTTTTATCGGTCCGCGGGATTTCGGTTCCATTAAACTTTTTTCGAATTTTATGTAACGGAAGATATTGTCTTTGCGGGTTGGGCTTCAGTTCGGACTAACTGCTGTTATTGTTTGTAGAGGCAGGGGACGTAGGATATGCTAATTAGATTTCATTTTGACGTATTGAAATTGTTTTCTTTCATGTATTTATGTCTTTGAGGGAAATAGAAAAGGGAATTTTTAACAGAAGTTTCTAGAAGTTTGAAAATGCACAGGACGATACGTGAGTTAGTCGTTCTTAATTAGTTTTTCATAATGTCTTACCAGAGATTAATTATTTATCTGGGACGTTTCTTTTATCATAATTGAGAAAATAAACTGAAGATGTCAACAACGGAATTATCTTTTCCTTGCCTTTTTTTATGTATAACCGTACAATAGGAAAGGAACGGCCAATTATCTGTTGGCAGGCATCCATCGATCAAGTCCAGCCAGCGGCAGATGTCAGGGGATTCAATAAGGAACCATCAAACGCGGACGAGAAAATCTTCAATCAATTTTCATTTGTTAAGAAAAAATGCGGCTAAAGACATCGTAGTGTTGCTTTTCGCGGAATTATTTAATAATAATATAAAAATAGATTAATTATATTAAGCTTCATCGATATCTTATAATAGTTGCACTTGTCCATTTAAAGTACAAAATACGCTATTTAGGCTGCCAAGATTTCTATTTAACGATTGATTAGTTTTATAGTGATCTTATGTATCATATACTACGATATAGTGTTGTAAAAAGCGTTCACACCGTATAATTTTAATCTCGATATTTATGTGAGGCACATCTCTAGTTCCGGAAATCTCCGTCACATTGAGTCGCGTAGGAAAAGAAACGCGCAACCGACAGTGGCAGTCGACAGTCACCCGCAGACAAATCTACCGCAATTAATGAGTGCTCGCACGCTTTTTATTCCCACTTCGATGCCGATAGGAATAAAGGAAGGGCCCCGACAAAACAACGGGTGTCGAACGAAGGAATTTATCATCGAGACGGCAGCGACAGCGGGACCGCCGCTGTCCATTTGGATAATGCCCGCCGCGATTAAAAATATAAAAATATCCCCGCGGCCGTCGTTGGGGTGTGCGGGGTGTGGAGGTAGGGGTGGCTCTGACGGAGGACACCGCGCGAGGACACAAAAGGATTATAAATGAGAAGGAATTTTAGATAATATTTGTACGTTGGATGTGGATTGTAATGTTGCGGGCGACGGCGCGGGCGATCTGTCCCCTACCCTTCCCTACCCTCCCCAGATCGCCTTCCGCGCCTAATGAGTATTTGTATCAATTTGTTAGTATTGTATTTGAATATTTTTGCGCGTTCGTTACGATTTTAATCCCTTGCGGTCTGGCGACGCCTTTTTTTGTTTTCATATATATTTTTCGGTCGTTTTCGGTGCTTTTATTAATTGTAACCCGGGGTGCGTTTGATCGTGAGCTCGTTTCCGTTGATTAAAGGCGCTGTTTCAGTTAACACGGATGTCTCAAACATGAGTCGATTGTTTTGTCACATATAATAAATTTTAACAACTTTATTAGCAACCTACTCGATATTACTTGCAACAAGAATGTTTCCGAGACCATTCATGTTTATAATGAACCGTTCCCAGTAAAAGGAATGGTTTTTCAGTATTTCGAAACAACCTGAATCGATATATAACATAAGATATAAATCTGACTAAAGAAGGTGCAAATTTCAAGTGTTAGCATATAACACACGTAGGAGATTACCTTGGTCCTTAATGAATTCACGTAAATATCCACTCGATGGATAATTAAAGCGTACAGAGAAGAGTAACGCAGAAATAATGATGAAGCATTAACAGCGGAGGAGTGTAATTGTGATTTTAATTAAAACTCTTTTTTGGCGTAACGTACGAATGAAAAATTACGTGTGCGCTCGCGATAGCGCCGTAAGGGTCAGATAAGCGAGGAAAAATAGAATATGCCTTAATTAATATATTAAATTTATTTAATTTTTCGTGTTTTTCCGCCGCGCGCTCTCCGCATGTGAATTAGGAGCGCCAAAGAAAAACACCGTAACGCCGCGCCGCGACAATGTCCTGTTTTCAATTCATTATCTCCAAAACAAAAATTTCATTAACGCTCAGATTTCCTTTTTTAAATTTAATTATGCATATTTAAATTTAAACAAAATAATAAGAGGTGCGCGCCGGCGAGGAAAAAAGCGGCTTTATCGTTTCATATTTTATTAACCGAATTTATAATTCCGATCCGAGGCTAGGGGGTGGGCGCCGACCCAAATATTTATGAACGCACACCAGAAAAATCCACAATAATATTTCAGGGTGGACGTCCGACGGTCTTTACTTACCCTCTCTGATCTATTTAAAAAAGAGGCCCGGAAGGACAAAGGGCTACCGCTCGTAAAAAAACTGGACACGTATAGAGTCCCCTGTCTCCCCGCTCCGCACGACGCCCGCCGCCCGCGGCCATTGTCTGATTCTTATTTTTTACCGAATCGGAACCTTTTCCCGTTTTTTATCGGTTTTTGTTCCGGAGACAGTATCCCTGCCTGTGCTAATGTGCGCCGCCGCTGGTTTCATTTGTCCGTCGAGACCGAGGTGGGAAAAACTGACCCTTTCCTTTGGTATGTAAAAATTGCGTGATTTACGGCACCAAGTGAGCGCAACCGCTCCTTGGATCCGTTCCTTTTTACGTATGCGGCTAATTTTTATCTCACGTCGACCCTGCGCGTTCTTTTGTTAATTTGAGACATAACTCAACATTATGAGAAATATTTACGCTAACCGGAGATATTCTCAACAATACATGCTCTGAAAAATTCTACTCTGATAGTAGACTTCTTTTCCAAATTGAAAGTAGAACATACTTACCAGTACTGATTATCTCCATTTGCAGGAGTGTCTCCCTGGATGAAAGGTTCCTGTTCTCCCAGGGTGAGGTCAGGCGTGTGCACTGGCACCCCAGCTCGCTCTCTCACATCCTCGTACTCATGTCTGATAACAGCATTAGGTAAGTTCAAGACAAACTTTAAAATATCCCGAAAACAAAATGTCTCGCATGTCATACTCAATTTGTGTAACATGTTTTCTTATTGAATTCCAGATTATATAATATAGCGTTAAAATCTGGTCCGAAACTCATCAAGTCCATCCCAATCGGTCTGAAGCCGTCCAGCCAACTGGCGGGGCGGACTATCCTGGACAGCTTGGGAGATACTGCCGTGGACTTCACTCCCCTGCCCAATACTGATTCCCTGCTCATCCTGCGTGGCGACGGTGAAGTGTATATGGTGCAGTGTACTTTGGATAGTAAAAGGTAGGCTAGATTCTAAAAGGTTCTTACTAATCTCACTAATATTATAAATGCGAAAGTTTAGATGGATGGATGTTTGTTAGTGTTCAAATTTGGCATAGATGTACTAGTAATGTATAAATTGAAATGAAAGAACACATTGTTTTTTTGTTAATTTGGTGCGGACGAAGCCGCAGGTGGACGCTAGTAGAAGTATTAGCAGGTGATGAGACAGAAGAATTAACACAAAAGAATACTGGCTTTTCTGTTCATCAAATGCATATATCATGTTCTCATAAATTCCCTAGATTTCCTTTCAGCTTTTATTAAAGACCGTTAAATGCAGAAAATCTAAGCAATAATACTTTCCTCAGCCCCCTGCAGCCGAGGCTATGGGGCCCGCTGCCTATCTACCCTCCAGCAGATGACAACTACGGCTCCGAGTCTTGTTCTATCTGCGTGCTTGGCACCGGCGATACCTTGCTTGTTGTCATTGCCACTTGCTCCGCCACGCTTTACCACTGTCTGCTACTGCCTGCTGTAAGTCCTAATCTACTAAATACAACCTTATTTCCCACAGGAAAAGACTGCAAATCAAATGACACTATACTTTACAGGATTAGGGCAACGTCTTTCTATAGTAATATCATAAATATGATTGGCATTTCTGGACTTTTGTATGTATTGGTGAAACTCAAAAACTACTTGGCTAATTTCAAATTCTTTTACTGAGCAACACAGGCTACTCTTTTTTATACTTCTTTTTAAATTTTACTAGGACGAAATCGCGAGGGACAGCTAGTTTTTACAATTTTTTATATAGTTAATAGTGTTTTTAGAGCTATAATTTGATTTTCTCTTTACCACTTGAACTTTCTCTCATTGTATATATTTATGAAAATGAATGTAAAGAGTAATTGGGCAAATATTGATCATGATTTTTTTTTTATTTTCAGCAATCTGACGATGTAATTGACAGAAACGGATACGCACTGTACGTGGTGGAGTCAGTAGAGTTGAACATCAACGTGAGCGACGACGCGGAGTTCCCGCACTCCTATCCGGTGCATCTGTACCCGGTAAGTGCTTTCGAATTTAAAATAACGCCATCTAGTTCAAGAATGGGATAATAATTTTGACAAAATTCAATAAGACTCTTCTGGACCTAAGTTAGAGTTTTAAAGTTTCTCTTTTGGTCAAAATATGTGGGTTATAAATTGTGAGGAATTTTGATTCTATCCTGTATATGCAAAAATATGTTAAAAACACACTACAGTTTTATACAATTGTCATTTTAAATGTGTTAATTTTTCCGAAACAGCAAAGCTGATAGTTTAGATTTCAGCTGAAAAAAAATATATTTGTACAGTAAAATAATAAAAGTGGTGTTCGTGCAGTGTACTAGCAACACGTACGCGTGCGTGCACGTGTGCGGCGTGCACACCGTGTCTCTGCCCATACTGGATAAACTGAAGGAATACGTCGCTGCTGATGAAGGTAACTTTTTTTTGTGTAACATAAGGTGGTAAACGAGCAAACGGCCACCTGAATCCGCCAAAATGGCGAAGCCTTCCCTTATACGATGGAGGAGGAGACGTACATAAAGAGGATATTTACCCTTGCTCCTCCATCTTCTCCTTTCCTTATAAGAAAAGGATGGAAAGGGACTCCAATTGGGCCTCCGGCACCACACTCATTACGTTGTACGCGGAATTGCTTCCACTTCACGCCTGTCTTCAGTATGGTCGTGGTATTGTTGTGGGCGAGCTCTGCAGTGCGATGTTAAAGCGGGCTCTACCACTGTCAAAACTGTTTTCAGGTAGCCTTATGATAGATATGAGTATGTATATATGTGTGGGGTTTTAGTTATTTTTGTGTTTTACTTTTTACTGTTTGATTACTGTCAACATGTCAGATGTCAATGAAAATATACTATTATAATAAAGCGCAAACACACGCTTCTTTGTTGCCTAAGATGTTAGAAATTACAGCATATTTTTGAATAATTCTTTAAAAGCCCTACACTTACGTCATGCTTTAGGCTATATATTTTCACGCCATTAAACTTAGGGGGTAAATATTTTGGATAAAAACCCTAATGTGGGAAAGAGACCATAAGTTGCTGCCAACATCAAGGAAGCAAGGTTGCCATGGTTTGTCATGTCATTTTGATATTTGTAATTAATAATTTGACACATGTAAACAATAAAATGAAATTTTCATAATTTTGCGGATGAAGCCGCACGGGAACAGCTAGTAGGAGATATTAAAGATTGTACAGAAAATCCGCTGATTCCACTTATTTTCAACAATCCCATATATATGTGTCATTCGACGACTTAGTGCGCACGGCGGGTAGTTGTTGAATGCGGAAGGCCTATGGCCAGCAGGGGGCAAACAAAGGCTGATGATGATGTTGTGTGCCAGCGAGTGCGGAGAGGCTGGCGTGCGGCGTGTGCGCGCACAGCTCGGCGCAGCACGCCGTGCGCTGGCGGGGCGGCGCGGGCGGCGGGCGCGGCGCGGCGGCGGTGCGAGGCGCCCGCCCGCTGCTGCTGCTGCTGGCGCCCGGCGGCGCGCTGCTCACCAGGTACGCACAGACCCCTCCCATCCCCCATCCCCCATCTCTTTTTTTTCAGGCACGAAGTTATGTGGGTTTCTCCCATAAAGAGCATACCCACTAAACCCCTATTCCCTCATGGTAGTTGTGGGGGACGCCACGGGATCGCTTTCGCTTGCAACCGCTACCCCCCACTGACCGCCCCAGGAAGGGGGATCCCAGTTAGGACGCTGCCCCCTATAGCGCCCCTATCCCCCCATCCCCAAAAAACAAGAAATGTATAAATGTATTGCGAAAAATCGAACTCGATTTTTTAAATTCTACTTCTCACGTCCACTGTAGGTTTTTTCTACTGATGTGATATACCCCATGACACTCTGGTGATAACAACCAATCGAATAACACCTCATTCGTCAAAATGGGATCAGTAGTTTAGACTGTAGGTTGTTACAACGGAATTAACATACAGATAAATTTAGAAAAAACTTACATACGTGCGAAAGACATTGCTCTATGAAGACGCAATACAAATGCGATCATCTCCCTATATTTATATTAACTATACATATAATAAAATTGATGGATGTGTGGTAACACGAATGGAAAAGATACGAAATGAGTATATTAGAGGAAGTCTGAGAGTAGCCCCCGTACTACTGGTAAGGAGTAAAAGGTTAGCTTGGGAGCATGTTATGAGGGATGAATCACATAACAAGGAGAACGTTAGCTATGAGTGTGGAAGGGTACATCGGTAGAGGTAGACATAGAAAGAGATGGATGGATTGTGTGAAAGGTGACATGATGAAGGGAGTGATGACTGAGATGACGTATGATAGTTATGCGGATGACAGAAACCTGTTGCGCCCTACGGGAGTAGGATCTCCTTGATGATGATGATGAAGTGTATGTAACAGAAAAAATCCAGATTTCACAAGAATGATGTATTTGCGTTACCAATAATGAAAAGCATTTCACCTGTTTCCGGGTAACCTGCTGCACAGATACTAACGGAATTTTACTGAAAGGTGGATGCAGACGGGAATGTTATGAACCATTTTAATTCCGCACTAACGAAGTATTTCCCCAGGAGCCTGGAGCCCTATGAGCTGGAGGAGAAGCTGTACCGCGAGATCCAGCTGAGGAACACCAACCTGGAGCCCGACGACCTCAACAACCTGCTCAAAGAGGTTACCTTTTTTATACTTTGTGGCATATATCAGCAATCTTAGTATATTTTTGGATATTTTTTATTAAAAGCCCCTACAATTACGACAAACTTTAGGCTTATTTTCAAGCTATTAATCTTATGAAGTTAGTAAAATTACATAAAAAATGTCTCTAGTAAAGTGTCAACTATACCTACTCTATTTTCATTTTTAATCTCTTTGAATATATCCCAGATCTAATTAAAAATAATCAATTAATTACTCCTATTAATTCAAGATAATCAACATCTGAATTTGTAAACGTCTGTGTTTACAACACCTTTCGCTATTTAGGCGAATTCTGTAATTATCACGTTGTGTTTCCAGAAGCAGAAATTGTCGTTTGTGACGATAATTCAGGAGATCCTGTCGAGGGAGGCTTCGCAGCCGCTGCTGCACCTCAGTAACACTGCAGCTGATCAGCCAAGCCCTAAGGAATGTCTGGAGGTACATGTAGATCTAGAATATTTTATCTAGCTAATAGAACACCAAGTCATATGGTCTTAGTTGCCTTGTCCGATAGATGGCGTGCTTCGTATTTCTATATCACGGTGTATAGATTTTTGGAAATTTATTTTTTTGGATTACTTTTCGCCCGCGACTAGTTTGTCCTCGTGGAATTAATTTCAGAAAAATATTAGCAACTACCCTATGTCTTCTTCTAGACTATCCTCTACATCTATGACAATCATCGAGATCCGTTCAGCACTTTCGCATTTATAATATCAGTAAGACTAGTTTTCGCCCGCGACTCTCTCCGCGTAGAATTATAAAAAACAAAAATGAATAGTTTAAGTTCAACAAATTCATCAAATTCAATTTCAACGATATCCGTTCGGCAATTCACGCTAGAAACTCTAAGAAACATCCCTAAACTTTCGCATTTATAATATTAAAATGATTTGTAGCTAATTGAAGTACTTGTGTTAGCTAGTGACGCAAGCGACGATCCTCCTCCGCAAGGAGTACATGGGGCGGCAGGCGCGCGCCGCCAGCGCGCTCGCGCGCAAGTCCGCCGCGCTCGCAGCGCTCGCCAAGAACTTCGTCATCTGGAGGAACAACATCTCGGTAAGTTATAAACATTAAAACATTGAAAGGCAGGAAGTAATCTATGTTCCAAACTAGCGCTAATTGTTGAAGAAATACGTAAATAAACAAAGGCTTTTCACTTGTTTAACTTACATCCGGTAGGTAGGTACCATTTATTTATGTGGTAGTTTTAGGTTAGGTTTTAGTTAAAAAAATAAATATGCTTTGCAAACTTAATGTCTTATTTGTAAAAGTGCCATCTAGTGGCAGAAAACTAAAATTGAAAATATGTGGTGATTTTTTTACAAATTCGAAAATATATTTGTAAAAGTGCCATCTAGTGGGATTATTTAAATTAAAAATCGACTTGATATCGGTATCACAATATTGCAGTATTATACAATAATATCTAGTCATTTGTATGTATTTGGGATTTAATAGTAATAGTAATACATCCAACAAGGTGGAGATGGAGAGCATCGCGCAGCGCGGCCGCCGCCTGCAGCAGACGTGCGCGCTGGCGCAGCAGCAGCAGGAGGACCTCAAGCAAAGGTACAATATTTCATCTTACTTATATTACAAAGTATTGAAATAACTCAAAAACTACTGGCCCGATTTCAAAAATTCTTTCCCAAATCAAAAGCTATAGTAATATAGGTTATATTTATTACTGTTTTTCCTTGTAGACGGGTTATCTATACTAATATAATATAATAAAATGTAAACACACACTTCTTTGTTGCCTAAGATGTCAGTAATTATAGCATATTTTTGAATAATTCTTCTATTAATAACAAGCCCTACACCTACGTCACGCTTTAGGTAAATATTTTGGATAAAAACCCTAATATGAGAGAGAGACCGCTGCTGGCAACATCAAGGGAGCAAAATTGCCATATTTTGTCATCGTGTCATGTCATTTTGACATTTGCAATTGAATTTGACAAATGTAAACAATAAAAAAATCATAATTTGATGCGAATGAAGCGGCACGGGAACAGCTAGTGACAATTGTGTGCAGGTGCTCTGCGGTGTCGCGGCGGCTGCGCGCCGGCAGCGCGGCGTGCGGCGGCGAGCGCGCGCTGGCCGCCGAGCTGCAGCGCTACGGCCGCGCCGCCGCCGCGCTGCAGCAACAGATACACGCGCTCGCCGCACACGCGCGCCACAGGGCCGACGAGGTACTGTGCTCGCTCACTCGGCGACAGACACACTAAACAATATATATATACTATATCAGACTGATAAGCGCATTTTGGCTCATTAACACTTGAAAAAAGTCAATTTATTCGGCATGTGCTCGGTGTATACCGAAGCGTCTGTTTTCAATGAATCACAACAGAACACGCAGTTTTACAGAATAGTAGAAGAAAAAAAATACATGTACTTAATTTTACACTCGGTCACAACTAGAAAACTTAATCTAAATCTAAATCTAAGGATAAATATAAAAAAAAAACACAAATAAAAACAATAAGATCTTACTTAATGTACCTAAATCATTTTAAAACTAATATAACCATAATCCCCAAAAAATATCTTTGATTTTATCATATCAGTATAACTACAAGCAATTTATCATATACAGATCTATGGAAACAGTTACACAGTAGCTGTAGTTGACATCTTTTAACGCATTTTTATAAAATCATGATTAACGCCATCTATTGATTAGGTCCCAAAACCACTTGTCATCGTATTTAAAGAAATTGCCAATAGATGTCACTAAATGTTTAAATATTTGTTTTAAACACTGTACATGTTTGATTATAACTAATATTTAGGAAGCTTTAAAAAACAACGTACTTCTGTAATAATACAAAGTGTTGTGTGCAGCTGCGGCGCTGGCACGAGGAGTACAAGCAGAAGCAGACGGCGCTCGGCAAGACGCACAGCGACACCATCTCCTCCGTGCTGCAGCAGCAGTCAGTATACCATTATCCACATCTTTACATCACCACCAAAATTCTTAACCCTTAAATGCACGATTTTATCTTTTTAAATATCGTAAATTAGAATAGGTAGTAAATTGAACATAGATTCAGGGAAAAATAAAGAAAAAAAATGTTTTTTTTTTTTCAAAATCGTCTATTAAATTAGGAAGAAAAGACTAATGTATCATCACATCATCATGTATTTAAGGGTTTAATAAGAAACAAATAAAACTTATGATTTTTGTTCATAATCAAGACTAATATACTTCTACATACTAAAACGTTTTTTAAATCTATTATTTTCTAAGATCACAATTAAAATGTTTCCTCTGTCAAATTATAAGCTCCCTTTATGTTTTAAGTTCCACTTTAGTATTCTACAGTTTTTTTTTTTATTTAAACGTCGAAAAATACTTTTTTTTGTTTAAATTGATTGTAACTATACTAATTTTTAACGTTGCATTTCCAGAACTAGTCAAATATCATCGCTGATAGAAGAAACGAAACTTCTCAAGGATCAGCTCAGTATTGTGTAAAACAGCACTCTTTTGTAATATTTAATTCATGTGAAATCAATAAAATATGTCGAAATTACAAAAAGACATTACCACTGTTTAATTCCAAATAAATTCATACTCACGGTTCTTTAAATTCGCTCAATAAGAGAAAAAACAATCATTAATTTTGCATGTACTGTAAAGAACTTTGTTATACTTAAAAGCTTGTTTGAAATTTTTTGTACAAGTTAAGACGCGGAAAAAACTCAATAGGATGCAGTTTTTAAATGAATAAACATTGGTTAATTGCTTTTATTCTATCGTTTAAGTCTCAGCTATCTAAAGAGACGGAGATTGTAAGAAAAAACGCAATTTTTCTGTAATTGTAATGCCGCGGATTTTCCCAACTTGTCGAAAATTTTGTTTTTAACTCATAATTAGATGTTGAAATATTTTCTCTATTTGATATATAAAGTATTATTAACATACGGACATCAAATTAGAAGAAAATTAATGTTTATTAAATAATTCCTTAGTAACTAAGTGATTTTTTGCTGTAAAACTCAGTATAAGATGTGCATTTTGTCTTTTCTAAAAATTACATTTTCAATATAAATCGCTAAATTAATTCGATTAAATGATTGAAATTTCAAATGAGCTTATTATTTTAAAACCTTGACCTAAAAACTTTTTTTTTTGTTCTTAAAGCCAATATGGAAAAATGTAGAATATTTAATTGGTAAAATTACCTTTACCTTAAAGTACAACATAATAAACATTAACTACTAAAATTACCTAATAAACCTATTACACATCTAAAAAAAAGTGGCATAGTACACTCGAGCATCAATAACGCCATCTATTGATAGGTCCTCAAAACTACGTGTCAATTAAATTTGTTGCGTTTAAATTATTTGTCAGTAGGTGTCACTAAATCATATTTAAACGATTCAATTTTGTTTTGTGACACTGTTTACTTAATTTCACAATAGATGGAGCTTATTACAACTTTGTAAAATGTTTTGTTACATGTCAATATAAGATCGCGAGATGGCACTAATTTTTTCACTGGTACGTTATTTGAAAAAATGGTGTTTACTATCTCGTGTCTATATTTTTATTGTCTGCATCTAAAACATTTTTCAGGGTAAGCGGGACTGTAGTTTTTAATATTTTAGCGGGATCAACAATCTACTAGATTTGTGCTACAATTTTAATAAAACACATTCAAGCACTATTTAATCATTTTATTGAGATTCATCTCATTTAACTTATCTAAAATACACATTCATAACTAAACCAAACTTTCAAACAAAAGTATTAAGTAATTGTCAAACTAACATAAAAATAACTTGTACTTTTGAGTATGATATCGAGTAAAATCAATTAAATGATTGTATTCGGAATGTTACAAAACTTTTTAGCGTCATTAGACATAGTTAAAACTACACTGAACTACGCATAGTATAACTGTCACTTAGTGGGCATTTAACGTCTCTGAGTGTAAATTATCGCTAAAGCAGTCTGTTCAGACGTCGATGAGCGGCCCCCAGAACATCTTGGAGACTCTGCTCTCGTCCTCCGTGAAGAAGAAATCCTTCCCCAACTTCACGAACTCCTTCAGAGATAACTTGCCGTCCTGAAACATGAATAATATTAAATCAAGATATACACATTTTTTTAAGGAATGCTATCTTAGAAATCCCATTTGTGAAATACTCTGAAAGTGATAGAATAGTTGATTTCTACTTTTTGGCAAATAATCTTAAATTTAAAGCGAATATTGTTAATAATAGATATCATTATAGTTAATACAAGATGGCGGATTACAACAACTTAGCGAATTATAACAAGATGGCGGACTGTAACAAAATGGCGGACTATAACGAAATAGCGGAATACAAAATGGCGGATTAAAATGTATTAAATAAAGCGCACCCCGTTAGTGTCGATGACGGCGAAGGCGACGGCGGCGTGCTCGCTGCGCAGCCCCAGGCACTGGAAGAACAACTTGAACTCCGCCACGGAGATGAAGCCCGACTTGTCCTTGTCCACGGCCTGCACCAAACGTTACATTACATACAGTAACTATATCATCATCATCTCCAGCTCATGATACGTCCCCACTGAGCTCGGAGCCTACCCTAAATTAGGGTGACTAGGCCATAGTCAACCACGCTGACCAAGTGCGGGTTGGTTGACTTCACACGTATCTTTGAATTTCTTCGCCGATATGTGCAGGCATCACGATGTTTTCCTTCACCGTAAGAACGTCGGGTAAATTATGTACATATGTAATTTCGAAAATCACATTGGTACGGCGGGATTCGAACCCAAGACCCGTAGATTACAAGTCAAATGCTTAAACCACTGAGCCACCGACGCTTTAGTAACTATATAAACTTGATTTATTTTGTAACTAGCTTTCGCCGGCGACTCTACCCGCGTAGCATTATAAAGAAGTCTAATATGTTCTTACAGACTACCCTCCACATCTATGCCAAATTTCATCGAGATCCATTCAGCAGTTAACATTAACAAACATCCATGTATCTAAAGTTTCGCATTTATATTAGTAAGGAACCCTGACCTTGAAGAGGTAGGGCAGCCAGCGGTGCGCGCGCTGCTTCAGCGAGGAGTCGTTGAGGACGTGGTGCATGTCCTCCAGGTACTGCTCCACCGTCACGAAGTTGTAGGGGTCGATGGCGCCCCACTGCTCCTCCCAAGTCAACTACACAACACAATACCCTCACTCTCATTGTTGTATAGCACACATTCTTGAAAGAAAAAAATAATTTGGATGCTAGATTTTTTTATTATTGACCGACTTCCCAAAAGAAAGAGGTACTCAATTCGTCTGTATGTTTTTTTCTTTGTTGTAATACCGAAAGGTTTGTTATAATATCGCATCATGTAAGTTTCTGTCTAAATGACAAAGACAAGTAAATTCTATTATAACGAACTACAATAAGAGCGCAGACAGCTCAGACTAAAATCGCCCTATTTAGTCTCGCTTTGATTCCTAAGCGCACACCACTCGATATTTAGTTGTGCAACTAAACAGTTGATTCAGAAACAATCGACAAACACTCAACAATGCGATAGTTCAGTCAAAGGTGTGCGCCCGCTTTTAATATATGAAATTATTTTGATAAATGAGGTGTCTTCCAATTACGTATTCTTACGTAACACTCAGAGTGTTATAGGGTACCTATATTAAATAGTTTGAAGACAACAACAGTGGTTTTGAGAATTGAAATTCTAAAAAGATCCTGACTAGCAACATCGAATTTCACTCGCTGTAATTTTTTTCATGTTTTTGAATATAATAATTTATTATAATTAATAAATTGAGGTTTTTTTTGTTTATAAAGTTAAAGTTAGGTTAGGTTTTGGTTCAATTTTATGAATACAGATTAAAAATATACCGTTAATTAAGTCTGGCATTGATTAGTTACATAAACATATTTAGTTTCAATACTGATAGCACTTACTTTAATAATAGCAGTGAACTCCTTAGCCTGCTCCTCATCCAGGTGTCCCAGTGCCGTGAACCTGTCCGCGAACAGCTGGAAGTCGCTGAAGGAGATGAGGCCATCTTTGTCCACGTCCAGGATATTGTGAACTGTCCTCATCTTGCGACGCCAGAACTCTGACTGTACAAGACATAATAAAAAAAGTGTTTATTACTTTACGAAGAATGTAACTGTTCAGTTAAACTGCGCCTGCAGGCATAACTGTACAGTTAATGAATTGCCTAGACATCCTCGGTGTTCTCGCCGCGCGTTTGCTCCCTTTTATTATAAAAAATGCACTTTTTTAACTAAACAGTAGAATTGTCTACCTATAAGATCTTACTGTTCCTTTTATTATTGGTACAGTTCTTTTCAAATATCTGGTTAGACCAAGAGTAGGTCATAGGTCATTGGCACTGCGCACCCTTCAATAACGATATACCGCGCTACATTACTAAGTGTTTTCCGTTCAAGTGTGACTTAAAAAGACTGCAATAACTAACCCTATCGTATCCTTTACACTCGGTATCGGAGTCAGAATCGCTACCACTGTCTTGTCTTCGGTGTTGGTCTGCGCGGCCGTGCTGCTTGCTGTACCGCCTGCAGACACTGTTCAGCTCCGCCTCGCGCTCTGATAGATAACACACGGAGCCGTTGCAGATCGCCTTTGAGTGGATCAACTGGAAACACGAACTCCGTTTTAAGGCACACAAGCCAGTAAAATAGGACAGTAGATGAATACATATGCCAATGTATGGCTTTAATCTATACTTAGTAATATTATAAAGAGGAAAGATTCGTATTTTTGTATGAATTGGAATTCTTTTACCATTAAAAAGCTGTGTTATCAGTGAATAACATAGGCTACATTTTAGGTTATATTTTTATTCCACGCGGGCGAAGTAGCTAGTAGTTAGAAGCCAGTATTCAAATTAGAGTAACGCTAGGCGCATCCATATAAATCTAAAATCTTAACATATTCCTTTAAATTGTAGGTGTGATTAAAATTATTTTCTTACATATGTACTTTATTTTATAGTGATAATGATTTACTGAAGGATTAGAAGGGCCAAACGCACTCGCTTGCATAACGCGTTGCTGAGTTCATTGACCCGCTAGCGTTGTAGGCCGCGATTGAGCAACTATTTTTATTTACATAACACGTATTAGTTTTTAGTTTGGCGCCGAAACTTTGTATTGTCTATGACTGATGCTTTTAGTTGAAGTAGGCAAAGGAAATTTTTCGATTCGTATTTTAAAAGGTAACGTTTTTTAAAATTAAATGTAATTTAAGGTGACGATTTTGTGTAGCTCACTTATAGTGGCTGCTGTCCAGTGGTCAATTGTATCAATTCATTCGAATACAATTTCGCACACCGGGATGCACTCAATCTTTGTTAGCTTGTCCCCATTCGCAATCATTGCTTCAATAACATCAATTTAAACTGAATTGGAACTTGATTACCCACGTTTTAACCAACGTTTTGACCATCATTTTAAAAATATGAATTAACAATTTTGGACGAGTTTTCTTTAATAAAACAACAACTGGCAACATTTTTTTTTATTTGTATTCAGGACATCAATATTTATTGCAAGATCTTCAAGCTTTACTATGGTAAATGGAATTATAATTCCATTTTTTAACAGGTATAATCGAGGACGGTTCCCATAAGTTTAGTTTGGTAAGGTCAAGGTGAAATAAAGGTCGGTCAATGCGTCTACCCGCATGCACTTTAAATATAATTACGATAGTGAGGGCGGGAAGAATCTCGTAAATATAACATGACTTCTCCCGGGATAACTTCCTAAAGTAATATTTTTTCACAACTATATTTAAAACTAAGATGTCTGGTGTATTTTAGTTTCAAAGTAATTACACTAATTTGATGCATAATTTTAAAGTAGACAAGAAAAGGCGCCAGATTAAACTGTCATTTAGATAAGACAAAGATTAGGCGCGACAAAATTATGTCATTGAGAAACTATATGATTTATGTTATTTGTTCTTGTCTATGGTCGACTCCCCACAGCGCGATGTCCAGCACGATTTAAAACTATTATAAAGTGCAACGAAAGTTCAATATTAATAAAAAACATAAGTACTAATCGTTGATTTTTGTTTCAATAGCCGACAATCCTCATGTTACTTTCTGCCTCGCGTAGCCTTGTGGAATAGTCTGTCGGCCAAACCACTGCGTCTTAGGGACCTGTTGCCTCCTTCTCTTATAAAAACAGTTTGCTATGCCGCTAATCCGTCATTCTAAATCACAAGTTATGAATGGACAATGTCTTATACATTCAGACATGATAAGAATACTAATTGCCAACTTAACTACCATAGAGTACGATGATATTGAGGCTTCCTTATTTATTTATCTCAATATTCGTGTCCCTTTTAACTTCCGTAAGCTTAAGTATCCACTTCAAAGTGAAATGTTTGTTCTTTTTGAAGCACGTATGAATGCAGTTGAAAATTTCTAACCAAATTTTACTCCGGAAATACAGATATTGTTTGATTATTTTAATTTAGGTGTTATTGTTATATAATACTACAATAATCAAAGGAAACCTTGAGCACACGCGTGCGTGGTGCGTACATCTACGTGGCAATGCGCACGTTCGTTCACATCAGCTGTTATTTCGTGTAAACAACATTAACAAAACAATCGAATTGACTTAACTGCCTAACACAAGGTCGTCCTGTTTCATACGAACCTAAACAAACGTGTTATATTTTTTTTGTTCCAAATTCAAATAAATGTGTTCAAAAACAAAACAGTAAAGTAGAGCTTCATACTGTACAGATAATATAGAATAGTAATTTAAATAAAAAACAATAACACCAAGTTATTTAATGTTATTACAGAATTAATTTAAGTTGTTTACTTATGTGAATTTGTAGAAAATATTTGAAATTTTGTCGCAGCTACACTAGCGCCACACCTCTACAGAACTTGTTATAATTTTAAATCAGCTTAAAACCCTATATTATGTGAAAACCGGTTTCTATAGGCCTTCGATTTCTTTACAGGTAGTAAATAAATAGTGATACAGTTATATAACAAACCTACGATATTCGATATTATGCAAGTCTTTATTTAAAGTATTTTAGTGAAGTTTATGTGACATTTACTTGTATTTGACATTTCTGATAAAAGTTATTAATTATTGAAAACCGATCATATTCTGTGCTACTACCTAATTCTACCACAACGATAAAGCCCTATTAGAAAACGGGTTTTGTATCCAGGAACCAGGTACCAATTCGTTGACATCCTCGTCTCTCAACCTTTATTTTCCTACGTAGTAACCAGTTTCTCTATTTGAAGTAAAATTGCTATTATTCTTATTTATGGAACTATAATAATTTTTTCTCCGGTCTTTGGACAACCGTGGTATTTTAGAAATAAATTTATTTAAAAATTGCGAATAATTAATAATTAATATTTTTTTAGTATAATGAACCGTAATGCAAAGACAATAAAGCATTGAATTGCTTACATACCAACATTGGCCCTTCTGTGACCGATTTAAATTGCTAAGATAAAACGTTATCAAATGACAACTTTTTAGTTCAGCAGCGTCTGACCGTTGACCGCTACACTATATAGGTTGTTGAACAGTTCAATCGACGATTTTTCCACGAGAATTTTTCAATTAAAAATATTTAATATTCTTTCGTCCGCGACGCCGTCCTTGTGGCTTCAAAAACAAAAGTAGCCTGTGTGTTTGTCCAGACTATAATCTATATCTATGACAAATTTCATCCACATACGTTCAGCCATTTAAGCTATAAACTCTAACAAACATCCGTCCATCTAAACTATCGCATTTATAATATTCATAAGTAAGATTAGTTTCTACTTCAAAATGAATATTTCCCGAATGTACATACATTAAGTAATGTTTAGTTAATTAATATGATTTACTAAGTACTCAATTTGCTAACGACCTTTTAATTAATGACTCGTTATTCAAAATTATTCCCGCCTTATTGTGCTAGAGTGTAAATACAAGTTAAAACATCAAAAGGAATTGTGACATCAAAGATGCTTTCAAGTTGTTTGAACAAACACATGGAGTTAACTCGAGCTTTCTTGTAACAAAAATAACTCGTGCGAAGCGAAGCGTTAGATAAAACTGCTTTAACTGTTTCTTATGATTTACAATTTTAAATAGATTTAGATTAAATAAAAAACATACATGAAGTGATTGTAAACCGGAGTATTGAACTTCTAATAAAGAAGTACAGATTACACGTTCCAAACATGATGCGCTAGTAACACTTCTACGGTAAAAAAAAAAACTAGAAATCCGACTTTCGGGACAAGTTAAGTTTAACTTAGTAAAACTTAACTGATATGCAAGAGTTTAAGTACAAGATATGAAACCTGTATTCAAACTTTTAAGTAAATGTGAAGAAAAAAAAATATCAGTCAAGTAATTCACCTTAATTTGATTTTGTACTGTACTGGTAGAGAGAAGGGCCGCCGTCCTTTCCAAATTCAGGGCTACGGAGCGCATGCCGAGTCTCATGAGGGAAGCCGCCATCTTAGTACTAGCACAACACAACACTTGTATCAAATTAAAAAGTTTATAAAAAAGTTTTTATTGTCTATGTGTAGACTGACGCTGAAAAGCGCGCGCGCGGAGAAAGTAAAGCGGGAACGCACATTCACGGAACTATTTGGTGATATGTAAACGCGCAGTGTTTTATTACTCGACCGGCGTTCTGTGGGCGGTGGAGGGGGCTCCGGCCGGTGCATGTGCTTGTGTTTTTGTTTACGCCAGGGCTGCTTAACTTGGTTCACAAAGGGCGATAAAGGGACACTCGTCCACGCAGTCGAACAATAGAAACTCAAATACATTTACATTTAAATACATTTTCGACAACTTCAGCGCTAAGTTTTATGCAAAATGTCCATTTGAGGCGGAATATTTTTTTAGCAAAGGCAGCTGTAGTTACTCCAGGAACGTGACGAACAGAAAAAACACTAAATAAGATCTATTATTTAAAGAAATTACCTATTTGTTGCCTTATTATGGGATTAGCTTTTACTTAACTACTCAAACAACATTTTTTGTTGCAGCTTATTGTAAAACTTGTATAAAATACTCAATAGATATTTTATTGCGGACCGCGTTATAAGAAGCGCTGGTTAGTTTTTTTTTATATGTACGGTTCAATTTGTGTTCGAACCATTGTCGCCTTTAACGTATCGAGTTTGATAATATATTCGTGTGTATAAAATATTTTTTTGTCATTTTGGAACTAAGAGAAATAATTTGGTAGACAATATTCGATAGATTTGTTGACGTTTGATTACGCGGGCGCTCTCGGGGGAAGGGCGCGCCGCGCGGGCGGCGCTTGCGGCCGAATGCGGTAACTCTCACGTACGCCACCAATTTTGGACGCCTAATTGCAATTTAGGTTAACTAAACATCTTAGTAATTTGATAATTAAATCATGTTATTGTATTATTGATAATTGACATTTAAATTAAAACACTTTTCCTTGTTTATATTTATCTAGGAACATAAATATCGCGTGGTCACTGACACGTAGGGATAGATTAGGGTCTGACTATTATTTATTTTTCCGTATTTACTTAATTTAACTGTTACTAACGCCTGTCTGGACTAAATGTCTTGTGATTACGTTATAAAGTACATCGCACGTGTGTACAAATTCTATTATTTTAATCTTGATATTCTTTTAACAGTAACAACTTTCCTTACCGTTTATTCTTCTTTTTTTTCTTATAAGGTGGCAAATGGGCAAGCGGCCACCTAAATTCGCCGAAATAGCGAAGTGACCGCTGCCCATAGACATCCGCGATTACAGATGCGTTACCCTTAATCGACGGAGGAGTAGACGCACATAAAGAGGATATTTTCCCTTCCTATGCGTCTCCTCCAACGTCAAATCTACTTTTCCTTCTCAAGAAAAAGGGTGGAAAGGGAAAGGGACTAAAATTGGGCCTCCTGCAACCGTCAACACACTCATCAGACGAAAGGCGGAATTGCTTACACTTCACGCCTCTCTTCTTTGGTCATGGTATTACACCGGGCGAGCCCTACAGTGCGAAGATGTTAAAGCAGGCTCTACCACCGTCTTATGAGGTGTAACTTTGTAAGTGACAATTAACGAATTCATAACTTAATATTTTCACTGACGAAAGACAGAATTAAAAGTATAAAATTATCCCGAGTACTTTGAAAGGGGGAGTTATAATTTAAAAAAAAAATCCTATGTAAAAACTATGTTTGTATGAAAGTGTTAAGATTGAATCTGAATGGCTACAAAGGAAGAGGAAGACCGAAGAAAGTATGGATGAATTGTGTGAAAGAGGATATGATTAAGGAGTGGATTTAGATATGACGGCTGATAGAGATGTATGGAAGAGCAACACATACTGTGCCGACCCTCCGTAAGGGATAAGGGCAAGTGGATGATGATGGTGATTTAAAACTATACAAAACTCCTTCATCCACATACTTTTGTAAAATTGTTACTTATTTTCAACTGCTCTGTTAAAAATAAAAAGCTACACTATTTAGCGCCCATTTGTTTGTTGTCTGGAGATAATATAATTCCTTCGTTTATCAGGATTGGAAAATAAACAATAACAGAACTTAATCAGCCAAATAATTATACACGTTTTTCCTGTTTATATTTTTATTCAAATAAAATATATTGTGACATGAGATAGCGTAATAAAATCAATGCCAAATAGGATAAGGACGAGGTTCTTGTGCAATGTATCACTAGCGACTAGCGAGCCGCCCCGACTTTCCGCAGTTACAACGCTGATAAAAAATTTTACATCACATTAGAAACTAAAATTATCAGTATTACTCTAATATTTTATAGATATATCTATTATAGTTATAAATTTTCCTCTTGAACTACATTTATTAAAACAGCATTAAAAATAATTGCGTAATTTTAAATATCTAAGCATACATAGGGACAGATAAAAGAAAACATCCGAAACCGACTGCATGAAGCCAGGAGCGAGAATTTTGTAGATCCACGATCTCTGCCTACCCCTCTGGGTTACAGGCATGTAGTCTTTGATTACAAAATGATGCTGATTGAAGTAAACTCTTCTTTTATTACTCTAATGATCTGTAGACGAAAACGTGCAATAAATCACATACTTTTTTAATCACATTTTGGGAGACGTTACGTAGCCGTTATGCAATAGCTGAGTATTTAAACAATTTCAAGTGAAAACGGTGGATATTTTTCTAAAGAGTACTTAAATTTCGTTCTGAAGGTGATTTTTTTAGAACTAGATATAAAATAGTATTTTAGCTACATTGTTTTGGTAACTTGTGCTAGAAGTTGGTCTGATGGGATTCGAACCCTAGACTTTATGATCGGAAATCCGTACCATTAACCACTAGGCTATTGGTGTTTACCTTATGTTATTTTAGTGATACCTTTGTACCTTTTACATTAGTAAAATTTCGCCATACTGAGGATTGAAATTATAACTTTCATTGTAATAGAGTTTAAGAAATAAAAAAAAAACATATTCTTATATTTACGTTTATTTTTAACTTAGATATATAAATATATGAATAAAACAATCAATTTCACTGTTACATTGAGAATATCAACATTAAAACTAAATTTACTTTAAAACACATTAAAAGAATTCATGTGGAATAAATACATATATAAATTACATTTAAATGTAAGAACACCATATAATTACATTTCATTTGTGTTTATTTGATTATAAAATAACATGCAGATATTTTCTTATCTAACAGAAAACAGAATAAACCAAATCATTTAAATACATCTTGTTGGCGCCTGTCACCTTCATATGGATCCCTAATGATCGACGGACATCACTAGCAACAGAGTCACACGGACATCCCTATTGTACATTCTTTCGCTCTCTCTCTCTCTCTCTTGCACTTCGTCTGTTTCATCGTATCTCGCGCTAATCATATGATTCTTATTACAACCAAAATGTAACATAATAATTAAACAACCATGAAGCTAAGTACCGCATTTCATTATGTCCATATAAGGGGCATAAACATCTGAAATTTAACTAATTGGTAATTTAAACAAAATAATATTTATATGTACTGTTTATTTACATCTTATATTATTTGTGTATGATAAGAAATATAAAATATAATTACATAGAAAAACATTAACATCTAAGCTATATATTTGAATATAACATTAAATAATTGTATTTATACTATGCTTTCTTGTACTCGATCCTCTCAACTTTGACCTCGTCTCCTAACAGTTTGTATACATAAGTTACAACTGTGGCACTTTGAATGTCCATTAGTACAAAAGACGGTGTCGGGTTCCTGGAATAAAAAATACATAACAAATACCTCAAAATTACTGAAGACAGAATAAATAAGATCAAAATGATATTGTGTCATTTTTATTGCCACCTTCCAGCTCTAACATCAATCTAACTAATATAAATGCGTAAGTTTAGATGGATGGGTGTTAGAGTTTGTAGCCTAAACATCTAAACAGATTTGGGTGAAATTTGGTACAGATGTAGAGGATAGTCTGGAAGATGACATAGGCTACTCACTTTTGTTTTTTTTTTTTAATTCCACGCGGACAGAGTCGCGGGCGATATCTAGTATTATTTTATTGCATTGTCATGCAATTTACATGAATTCAAAAGAGCTGCGTAAACCGGGAAGTAGATCCAATTTAATTCGTGAGATATAATTACAAACATCAGGACTGTAAAACTAAATAAATTTTATTTACGATAATAAATAATTTAACAACCAAATATTAAAACAAAACTTAAATGCTTCATAAACATTACAATCTAATGGATGTCAAAATTTGTAAGAAAATTGTAGCTAAGTGTGGCCTTATCAGTGGACACTGTTACATATTTAACTGATATTTCAGTATTCAGCTGTAAATGTAATAACGTAAAATTCTACCTGAAGAGTGGACTGTAAGCTCCAGTCGCAGATCCAGGGTTGATATAAAACTTATTCTCATGCTCATAAGCTTCAAACCGATGTGTATGACCTGATATCAGGATGTCCACATCCAGCTGTCTCTGCACCAGAGCCAGTGACTCTTCATCTCCCCAAGGCACCACCTGGTGGCCATGGATCAGACCGATTCTGAACTGGCCAACAGTTATCACTTTCTGTTCTGGGTAGGTTGAATTCTGGAAAATTTGCAAAATAACAAGATTTAATTAGCTATTAAATTAAAGGCTAGGAAGCATTATTTTTTTGCACCTACCTTTTATTGATAGAAGGAGGATATTTCCCCTACCTATCTCATTGTTAAGTGTATTAAAAGATGCTTTCTACAAGCATAAAAGTTATTTATAGTAACAATGACACTTACCTCATCAAAATCTCCCCTCACAACATGCACATCACTAGCCAATGTCTTCAAATAATCATATGATTCCTTAGTACACAAGTTTCCAGTGCATAGAATGTGCTGGATGCGGCCTGGGAGCAGCAGCTTCTTGAACTTTGGTGGTAGGCTGCTGCATCTGTGCGGAATGTGCAAATCTCCAAGCACCAAAACTAACTGAAAATATGTGGAGACAAATTAAAAAAAATATTTACACAATTTACTTGATTTATAGATACGTTTTAACAAAATTGTTTCATTTTCATATAGAACATGTCAAGTTTCTCAAGATTTCGATAAATTTTGGTGTAGTTGAATACACAACTCGTAATACAAGTATTGTTAAAATCAGTGTACGATTCATAAAGTTCTAGCATATAGATTGAACTTGCTTGTAACAAATCAAATTAACTTATCCGGTTTGCTGTAATTGTAATTCGGCAATGTTTCACATACTTACCATTTTGTTCAAATATTTAAAAGCCCAATATAAACAAATTGAAGTTCTAATTGATTTGAGCTATTGAATCAAGCAGATATTCGTAAGAAACATACAATCCTCCCACTATTTAGGATATAATTGATAAATGAAAAATATACAAAATGTGTTGTATAGTCTGTTTCCAATTTGACAAATTGACGCAAGATTGACGTTTAATTTCTTGATTTTGTCTATTGTTATGTAGAGTATAAAAAAAAATTAAGATCGCTATCTATGAGTCATATAAAAAAAAATAAATCTTCTAAACTGAGTATTTTGCGGCTAATGAGAAAAAATTAAATACAAGACTTGATCTTTTGCATACGTTCCATATATTTTGTATTTTACAATTCCAGCATGAATAAATAAGTGTGAGGATGTGAAGTACAGATCTAACAAGGGAAATTATAACAAAAGTTTACGGGTATTACAAAAATAGTCTTGGCAACCTTCTATCACGTCACTTTTCTCTATTCTCTATTCTTTGTGAGTGGGCTGGCTTAGAATTGATGAATTTCATGGTGTTGTGGGTGACACATATACGTAGAAAAAATCTAGTGTAAGAACACCACATTGGCACCAACTGCTAGGAAATGGAATCAATGGAATATGAGCTCGCAAGAAACCTCACTCTGTTGTTCTTCGTGGAACGCCTGCTCGACAAAGGCGAGCCGAGAACGTTGCACGATCTTTCCTGCCAGTTTGGTGCCAAAGGATTCACCAAGGAGATGCGTCAGATCGCCGGCGGGTCGCAATCGGGCTTGAAGAAGTTCCTGGCTCAGTACCCCGCGTTGTTCAGCATAGACGGGGACTATGTTGATATCAACACATTCCAGAGGCACCCGAGTGGCGGCGGCGCGTCGTCCAACAACGATTACATCGAGGAGGCGAAGGAGTACTTTGCTAGCAAGATGATCCAGTACGGAGAGGGTACAGAGGTGCCTATTAAAAGTCTTCTGGGTCATCGCAGCCAGGCGTCTCCGCAGGTACGTCACATCTCTGGTCAGCGCATCAAAGAGTTTAAGGACTTTCTCCTGAAACATCCCGATACGTTCCAGATTATTGATGATAATGTCGTTCTAGTCAGTGAGAATCATAGAAGAGGTAACACTTGCAGCAATTCTGAACAATTTCACAATTTACCCGCAGCTAATATAAACACAGATACAGCGCAGCAGCTGCTTGATTATGTCGCTCAGTGCATAGAAGCTAAAGGCCCAGTGATGGTTGATCAGCTATTCCACTTGATTGTGTCACGCTTCCCCCAAGAGTACTGGTACCAAATGTTTAAGACTCCAGCAGACTTAAGTGCTTTCTTGAAAATATTCTCTGACAGCTTCCATGTGCAATCAAACCTTGTCACTCTAATTAGTAAACCAAAAATACCTGTCATGTATCTCAATGCTAAATCAAAAACAAAGACTGATCCACCAAAGCCCATTGTGGAAGAGAAAGCTATGTCGCCAGCTCCACCTGTAGTGGTGAGTCCCACTCCTTCAGATGGCAAACAAAGCCCAGCAAACAGAATACTCAGTCCTGTAGAATCTCCCCGAGGTCCACAAGCTAATATTGCAAACCAAACCTTAAAGCAACGGATTAATTCTATTGTCATTAAAAATTTAGCAGAAAATATGGTCAGAGACAGAGTCAATAATCATTTGAATACTCGCAGCCCTGAAGAAACAAATGGTACATCTATTAGAAATAACATGGTGGGAGAAGCTTGGAGGCAACGAGTTCTACAATCTGCAACTGTTATAGCTAATGTCAGGGAATGTTCCACACTCATTGATAGTATAATGAATCCAAAGCGACATACAAAGAGCATAGTTTCCTTTGACTGTGAGGGAATCAACTTGGGTATCAAAGGGGTCTTGACAATGTGTCAAATTGCTACCATGAATGGTGAAGTCTACATATTGGACATAATGGCCTGTCCTGGAATGATTGTTGAAGGTAAAATTAAAGAATTACTAGAGAGTGAGAATGTAACTAAGATTATACATGACTGCAGGAATGACTCAGTCAATTTACACAACCAGTTAGAAATCACTTTGAAGAATGTTTTTGATACACAAGCGGCCCACGCTGTGCTGCAATTGCAGCAACAAAATTTACCTGTATACAAAGTGAAAAATCTCAGTCTGAATGCACTCTGCGAATTATACAATGCCCCCATGAACCCCATGAAGGAACAGCTCAAGAATGTCTACCGCAGAGACCAACGTTATTGGGCCAGGCGGCCATTAACAAAAGATATGATCATTTATGCAGCTTCTGATGTTCTATCATTAATTAATCCTGCAATTTATGCATACATGTCTGCTAATATCAAGCCAGAAAACCAACAGCTCTTTGAAGAACTAAGCAATGAGCAAGTATTCATGCATATACAACCAACTGAAGTAAAATTACGTAAACGACAAAGGAAGATAAACACAGAAGTTGGTGAATTGAAGCATAAACTGGCAGAATCCACAAAGAATATAGTTCTGAGCAATCGGGAAATCAGATTATTGAGATATTTAGAGCTTACAGAAGAAGAGAAAGAAAAACTAAAAGGTTGTCATAAAATTTCTAAGAAACTGGAGAAATTGGAAGCTATCGGTCATGAAAAAGACAGTGATTCCGAAGATGATGAAAGAGAAAATGAGATGGCTAGTCTAGAATCAAATCCTTCTGATTCTATCTCTTCTCCACATTCTACACAACCACCTAGTCTCACCGAGTCAATGCAAATGATGGATGAGATATTATCAGATACAAACATGGATAAGGTGGAGAAAATTAATCGTTTAGAAGCGATTTTATCAGCTGTTGCACCTCTCAGCGGTGAGTTGGAAGATAAATTCTCACAAACAATGGAGCAAACTCTTCCTCTTCTGAAAAATAAAGATTGGTCAAATCTGAGCCAAATACTAAACATAGGTGATGGGGACAGAAAGAACTGTTGCTGCAGGTGCCATAATTCAACTCTAGAAGATGCACAGTGCAATAATATCAATGAAGCAAAGAAGACGGAGATAGGATCACAAACGCTGAGCACAGGTGACATTGTCATCACAAGGATCCATTTCCGTGAAGAGGACAAGCTAAATGAAAGAACCATTGATGCCACACCCTTCAGCAAACGGGTAGGCATAAATAATTCATCTTGATGACACTCAGCCATGTTATTTGCATTTCCATATTTGTGAGTGCCACTTAGTTTTGAAACTCTTCTATATGTGATCATGTTTTTGTAGTTGTTTAAGTTAAAAAGAAATGTTTAACCCAGCTATCAACTAGCCCCTAATACTTATAATGGAGGTATGGTAGCAGTTAGTCGGAGAATTAATTAATATAATTACAATCATGATGTGCATTATCAAGTGTATTGGCATTTAGGGTTGATACCTTCGGAAAGTTTTATGTAGACAATTTCCCTCATTTTTATACCATAATCTTATTTCTTGATTTAGAATAAAATGTTTAGTTAAATCTTTGAATTTTTAAAGATTTATCTTAGAAGTTAAAGAAAAAAAAAATAAGGTATTTTGTGGGATGTACATAGTATTGAATATTTATTACAATACATTATTTATTATGAAATTCAAACTTATAAACATTGTGGTAGTTTATAAGTTTGTAATATTTGTAAAGTAGCATGCACTTTAAAGGATTTTAACTTGTAAACTGTTAGAGGCAACCCTGTCTTGTGATCATTTGAGCGAAGAAGTGCGTATACACTTGAATAAATGCAACGGTAAACTGCATAACAGAACAACTATTTAATTCCTTCATATGGAATTATCAATGGATGTTACATTTATTTATTTAGGCTATTGCCTGTTGTGAAAGCGGTTTTACCATGTGATAGGTTAAACGGCCTTGATTTTTTCTCGATTCTCTTTGGAATTGTAAATAAGATAAGAATGTAGCATGCATAATGATTGTCATAGCATTGACTGATGGATTTTGCAGATAGAAAACGTACGCCTACATATCTATATATCTGTTTCGTGTAGTCATGTGCTACAAAATTTTTACTATCATGGCAATAATAGGTATACAATAAGTTTTATTGTTCAAATGTTTAACTGAAATTTATTTAGATGTATTCTAGTGAATTAAATTATATAAGGTAGTTGAACATTATTGTTGGTGCTTGGTGAGATATAGTTGGTACAGTAGTGCGAAATACCTACTTTTTAGCATTTTGTATGGTTGTTGGGGTATCTTGTGGATTATTTAACAATATTTTTGTGCCTTCGAGTCATATCCGACGATCGCCTTTCGAAAGTGAACGAGTAGGGATTTTGATACGTATTAAGTAACTTTACAATTTAGTGTCAGTTTTAACTTGAAATTACTAAACCTCATTTAGAAGCTTTTATAATAGTCATTGTCTATGGTAGCTTCCATCTAACGAGGGTAGACATTTGTAAATGTGTTACTTCTTTCGAATAGTTTATTTTTGTGTTATAACTTAAGATATGTTAATAGTAATACTAAGGTGATATTCAGTACTAAGCTTTTTGTTTTTTAGAGCTTACGTTTAGTAGCCTTTTTATATATTACTTGTCAGTATTGTTTCCATCCCAAATTAATTTATATCCTGACAGCTTAGTAAATACCGTTAAGTATTTATTTAACCTCAGCTAGCAATTTTTTTCACTTAATTTTTTACGACTTTAGTATTGTAGTGGATGTTACAAATGTACCACTTTTTTAATGTATACATTTTGTGCCTTATACACTGCACAATTTCTAGAAAAATGTCGTGTATACATTTTTGTATTCTAAACGGTGTTTTAGTGCCACAAAATTTGCTTATAAGAAAAACATTTCCATAGACAATTTTTATCTTCCTTATGCCATCTGTTGGCTACACTGCAACGGTTTTGGCGGGAAGTTTACTGTTCCTATAGAATGAATTGTTGCTGATTAACTTTGAAATGTGGCAAATTGACCGTTTACTGATTTGCACATTGTTTATGTTTATTACAAATAAAAAAGTTGAAAATACTTTTGAGTTTTATCATTTTAAAATACCTTAAAAATATTAGAGTAATTTTAAAATGCGGTTTAAATCTTTACTTAAACAGTTCTGTTTTATTTTCTTGCTTTAAAGATTAACTGGAAATTATGTATGTTATGTCTGGTAACAAAAAGCCAAGGATACTAGAGATTCAAATATGCCGTATGTTTATCAACAGCCACTAGGAAGTGTTGCGATATTTTTAAGCCAATTACCAGGTCATGGCCCCAACGAAGTCAGCCACGAGCCAAGAAGCTTAGTGTTACAATAATTCGCCGTTATGCGTTAGTTATGTAACTTTATTCTTTATATTTTTAAAGAAGAGATGTTTGAAAGACAACACTTAACCGCGATCTTTAAATTTCGCTGCATTCAACAAAAGTTACAATACAATTGATACGTGCTGCCAGAAACCCAGAATATTTCCGATATCTTCATCGTTAAAAAGAAAACATTAAAAAGCCCTGACTAATCTATTTAGTCAATGTATTAAGTAATTATTTATCTTATATTTACAACTAGATATATTGCATAAGTACCTTTAGCTAAAGATGTTCGTAATGCGATTATAACAGATGTGAAACCTGCTCAATGTCGACCTACCGTCTGCCGTAACTTCGTAACCAAGACATCTGAACCTTGGCAACACAATTTTTATATTTACCACGTGGTCCAAGCTCACTGACTACCTCAATCATCAGGACAAAACGCAGAAGTGTAAACCATAATGAAAACAAAGAGTAGTAAAATTTCGATGTTTCTTGGATTAAACTTTTTCACTCAGAAATAAGATGTTTCCATGAATACGCCAACAATGGTTTAGTGGTGAAGAGAACAAAGAAGAGTCCTGGATTCAAATCTAACATCCAAGCTTTATCGTAAACCACTCGTTAATGACCTTTTAATATAACTTTTTTAACATAATTTGTTTGGGGTCTTCAATAAAATACTTAAGCAAGTATGAGTAAAGTTGGTGAATGTTTGTTTTGATATTGTTTTGTTTAGTATCCTTGACACTGCAATGAAACCTGCTATATCGTAGGCCTTGCCTTGGATTACAGAAGGCCGTTCACAATATGTTAACAGAGCAGATAGTGACCTTTTGGTGGGGTTCTTACCCCCATTTAACGTATCTAATTTTGATTTTTTAAAATAAAAAAAGTACCTAATTTAACAGTAAAGTTGTATATATCCTACTATTTAAGCATGGCAGGGTATAAATAAGGAATAAACCAATGGAACAATGCTGGGTGAGTCGCATTGCAACGGTAGGCAAGGTACACGCACAAAGAATGCGACAAATACTTATTAGAATGCAAAATTGCACCTACAAAGTACGCGCAATGAGATTAGAAACAATCTATCGACTGGTCAGTCAATAAGGACACGCCAATGGCAGCGTAGACATCGCAAACGTACGTACGAGTATAACTGTACAATACACAGCACACTACTGTGTTCTTGTGTTTGTTTCCGCGCATAATCTGCGATCTATCGAAGCTTATGTAATTCCTTTTTATATCTTAACACCTGTCCGCGGATACTGATTTGCATGCTACGCAGTTATATTCGAATGTTTATTAATAGAACACATAAGAACCACAGTTTAGTTAAAAGGTAAAATAAAAAAATGACACGGTAGGTCTCTAATCATCGTCCTGATGGTTTTCGCTGGCATTCGAACAGATATCCTTGGACATGATGACAAAACCTGATGTCTATTGCGTATGACATGAGAATTGGCGCGAAACTAAATGAAACGCTTATGCTTCAACGATAGTCTAATTTTAGCATTTCATCTCTCAAAACAATGTAAATCAACTTATGTTAAGTTAAAAAGCTTGAAATATTCATATCAACAGTCGTCTGTGGTCTAAAAATAATCAATAGCGTCGACCTCTTTCTACTGTTTCTGAGGTATCGGAATAACCAATCATAACTCGACAAGGAAATTTTAACACAAGAATGAGTTTAATTGCTATGGTAGTAATATAAAGTTCGCATAGCTCGTATTTCTATAAAAAGCGTCGAATTTCATCGGATTGTACGTGAAAAGTTCATTAAACTTGCCTATACGGCCTACTTAAACGGCATCTCTTATCAAGATTTGGTCAACATGCGTTAATTACTTTAAAATAGTGATGGTAATTTGCATGATCTTGAATAATTAACATAACAAACATTCCAACGGCTGATCAAATACTTTTAAGGCATAAAGTAATAGCGCCTATGGACGCTTAGTTTAAACACTAGCTAAGAATAAATATTTTATGCTTCAAAATAACTGTATTTTATACATCTCTCTGAAAGATCAGTGTTTTTGACTAAAGCCCGTTACAGATGTTTAATTTAACTGAATAGTTTTAGTCGACATTTTTTTTAATTTACAACAGTAATTAGGCTTACAAAAATTTCACGCTAGACCATTGTTAAGGCACAGATAAAATATCACAACCTTTATGTATACCTTTGGTCTTCTTTATATTACACTTAGGACCAACACTTTAATGCGCAATCATCGAAGGACCATAATGTGAAAGTTTTTAGCCTATATATGTACCTATTATAATCATATTAACATACTCATGGCTTGCAACAATGTGCCTTGCATTATTAAAAAGATAATTTAATTACGTCGTTGTGGTCTTTCTATTTAATTTGATGACTTGATATTATTTCAAAAATAACGGTTGCGAGTAAAAATGATAAACAGTATGTATGTAATTTCTCCGACTCTTACTTATCTCCCATGGCGCGAGATAGTATTAAGACGTGGTAAAATAAAAGTCATTATCTTATCAGTTATCAGGTTAACAAATAACAGGGGAGTAGAAGTAGAGGTGTTTTTATGGGGAACTTCTAATGAGAATGACCAAAACAAACCTAACATTAGTAAAACATTAGTAAAAGTATTTTCACAGTAACCGTTATAAATCTCACATATTACAGGGACAAATTATTAGGTTAACAAATATTCCTCAATACAAAATAAAACACTTGTTGTGTATTATGTATACTTTACACAAAACTAGCTGTTGCTCGCGACTTCGCCCGCGTGTAATAAAAATAGCCTAGATAAATTACCTTTCTAACGGTGAAAGAATTTTTAAAATCGGCGAAATAGTTTTTGAGGTATTTCAATACATACAAAATACAAATCTTTCGTCTTTGTAATATTAGCATAGATATCTCCAAAATAGAAACAAAAAAAAAACATATCGACGAATTGGGTACCTCCTTCTTTTGGGTAGTCGGTCAGAAGGTGTTTAACAGAAAGTGTTGAAATAAAATTATGTCGTTCTTTTTGGCAGAATTTCTGAGAACTGTTACCATTTAAAAACAAAATTTGTCAAACGTCACCAACTTCACTGTCAATAAAACCGTTGATTAATTCAAATTAAATGGTAAATATTGCTTTTAAATATTAGTCTTTATAGGAAAAATATTATTTTATAGAATAATAAACGTAAGAATGGAAGATTTTGATGTATTTACTGATGAAATAGAATTTACAGAAACATTATATAAAAATGTTCTAAATAAATATGTGAAAAACATACCGTCGACACCGAGCGGGCCGAATTATCAAAGTAAGTTTGAATAAACGTGTAATTTAAACCTTGTTTAACTATTATTGAATTTGTGAGAATATTTTGATTTTCTTCTCACAGGTAGCAGGAAGCTGTATGCTGAACAACGTTTAGCGGAGAACAATGAGGCGGAGTGTGCATTCTATCTTAGTGAAGCTGTGTCCGCGTCTGTAAGGACATTAGCCGTATATAGAGATGAGCAAATAAAGGCATCGGGTAAGCCTTTCTTTATATTGTTTGGTTATTTACAATTAAGTGTTATAATATGGGATCTATGAGGCAGAAAAAAATATTTGTAGAATTTTTGTATGTTTTTATATATTTGTTGTAAGCTAGAAGAAACTTGGGCAAATAGTGTGTTTTCTTATTAAGTACTTTTTTTATTTTCAGCTAGTAAGACACATAAAATTGCAAGTTACATAAAACCAAAAGATAATATGACTGTTGGCAAGCCTAAGTAAGTATCTATCATACATTCTTAAGAACTTCTCTTACTAATGTAATAATTGTGAAAGTTTAGATAGTTGGATGTTAGGTTTTTCTGGAAATTTCGACAGATCTTTATGAAATTAACAAAAAACATAGATGTGGAATTGTCTGGAAGAATACATGCCTTGCATAGGCCTTACTGAGTTTTTTGTTCTCACAAATGGTGTCACAGGAAAAACCTAGATTTACATATTTTTGCAAAAAGATGTTGTTTGACCATTTCTATTCACCATTTTTTTATTTTTTCAGGTTAAAAAGTGAGAAAGGAGTACTCGATTTTCTATCAAAAGAGGCAAAACATACAGCTGAAGTATTAAATAAGTTTAGGATAGATGATGAATTACCATTTTACAAGCAATATATGAGATTTGGACCTCATAATAATACTGAAAATTTACTAAAAATACTCAAAGAACTACCAAAAGGTAAATTTTTAAATATTTACCTGCTAATGTAAAAGCTAAATTTTTAAATATTTACCTGCTAATGTAAAAGCTAAAGTTTGGATGGAAATGTATGGGTAAACAAATCTCAATTAAATTTTTATTATTTTATTTACATGTATTAAAATTGGAATGTCTGTATAGTATATAAAAATATTAAATTTCGTAAATATATTTGCATTGCTAATAACATAAATCTGTTTCTAAAATTTAGTTAAATCTTTTGGCTATAGTTTTTAATTCCTGGACGGATAATTCACAGAAAAGACATTTAAGTTTGTTTTTCATGTTATTTCAGAATGGACAATAATACAATTAACAGCTGCATACAACCCAAATGAGAATTTAAAGCCGCAGAAGGAATTTAAAACTGAAATCAGTTCATTTTATTTGACAATGCTTAAAAATGATTACATAGATATGAATGATGTTGGACCTCTCACTGTTAATATACCTGCTTATGTACATAAAGGTAAAGAAATAATTTTATTTATATAAAATAGGTTTCAGAGTAATATAGTCTCTCCCTCTGCTTTTCTTATGTCCCCAAAGTGGGGCAGAAGGCGTTGACAGTATGCCGCCAGCTTGCTCTATCCCAGGACAGACCAGGCTCTGCGTTGTGTCTCGAACCATGACAGCCCGATTGACTTCAAGTTGGCCGCCATTGACCGCCGCCAGATTTGTTTAGGGCGGCCACGCTTTCTTTTTCCTTGTGGGATCCACCCCTGGTCTCCCTGGGAATGTGAAAATATATAGATTATTATAGTGAAACAATATTAATAGAACTGTAACAACAATTAATTTAAACGAGCTACTGATCCCGCCAGAATGGCGCGCAATTCCCACACGTCTGAATGACATTGACAGCTGTCAGATAGGGATGTGGTGTTTGTGACAATGATATAGTGTTGTGCCAATCCTCCAGAGCAGTACTGATTTTCTAATAGTAAAGTTAACTTAAATTGTTTTTGTTAATGTTATACACCTGTTGGTTATTTTAGTTTTGTGTATATTTATGTATTATAATTAATTAAGGCATACATGGATGTAGCAAGTAATATTTTAAATCACTGATTTTAAGATTAATTTGAGGTTTACTGTATTTTTGCACGAGTGAGGGTCAAAAATGTATGTATTTTCGTTTGTTATTGCGGGCAAGTTATGCGAAGTATTTTTGCATTGAAACCCATTAAGTTAAGGATATTCAAACTTTAAGTAATCAAAATGTTTTATAAATTTCCAGAAGGAGAGAAGCCATTATTCACAGAGTTATATTCCCTGCTGGAAGATAATTATAATACGATAGGTAAAGCGCAGTTCATCAACAAGAAACGGCTTGTGCAGAACTACTGGAACAAGCGGGAAGATATTGACTTGAGGATGAAGGTATACCAATATATATTTATATTATAATGTTATTTGTCATACTTCAGGAAAGGAATTGAATATTTCTTTGAAATTGTAGAAGGACTTAAGTATAGTGTTAGTACTAGAGAACTCGACAATCTCTTTTCCTTCCCATCTCTTGTATAGGAAGGGAAAGTGGGTTTGGTGGGCAATGTTATACAGGAAAGGGAAATATCTTCTACGTGTTCGTCATTTCCATCGAGGTTGCTTCGCTATTTCGACGTAATTCAAGTGGCTATTGCGCCATATTATGATTTAAAAAAAAAACAATGTTTATTTTTACCTTTTAGACAAGAATGTTTATAAATAAAATTAAACAATTTAAATTTATAACTTGTTCCTGATGATAGTAATGTAATCGGGCGTTAGTGTTGAGCGTGGTTGTTAGCCGCCCTGGGCGGTGGTCATAAAGGGGGCGTTACAAGATTTCGAATCTCGCATATCCCTGTTTTACCAAAAATGGTAAAAGGGCGTATGAGGAACGTGAGGCAGGGCGGGTTGTAGCACTAAGGGCGGTGACAGGGCGTGATCAGCGCGATGGAACGCGACTGGGTGTGCGGCTGGAGCGCGCTGCTGACGGGCGCGCTGCGGGACGCCGCGCTGCGGGACAACCTCGTGCACTTGGTGGATAACGCTATAGCGGACTGGGGGTGAGCAGACATCTAATATTGTTACCAAAATATCATAAAAAAATAATGTCGGTTTTTATTAAAAAGTCATATATAGAAGCATTTTGATGATAACTTTATAAAAACTTCTGTTACTCGCGACTTCATCCGCGTGAAAAGTAAGAATGTAATCCATACTCTATGGTTTTTAATGGTGCAAGAATTTTTAAAATTAGTCCTCAAAAATTACCTTAAGTTATTTCAATACATACTGCGATCCAAAAATATAAATAATTGTATTGTGAAACATCAATACTAATATTATAAACCAGGTTTGTCCCTCAACTTTGTTCGCGATTTTTCGAATATTCTGATGTTACGTGGTAACATCCATACAATTATCGATAAATCCAAAAATATTTTTTTATAGTATTAGTAAGATTTAACATTGTAGCACAAAATTATTCACAATTTGACTCAAACTCATTACTAAAATTATGTCTCTTTGAAAAAAAATGTGTTTTTTTTTCAGTTTTTTAAAATTGACGATCAAGCAAAAAACTCTCCTCTACAATTTAATTGACAGCTGTCATATATTACCATCCAACCAAATTAAATCATGTATTAGAAGAATTTTAACGGAACATGGCAACACTGAAGATATAAGGAAAGTCATTGATAAGTTTATTTGCAAAAATTGCAATAAACAATTCAAATTTCCTAATGAATTATGTTTGAAGTGTTTATCTAAATGTTTTGAAGAAATTCATCATGTGAGTCTAGTGACAGGGATTAAAGCGTTTTCTCAAGTGGCAACACAGGTGAAGGAAAATTCCGAGTGGGCAACATTAAAAACGGCTAAAAGATGGCCGGTTATATTAATTGTGGACGAGGTAATTGTGTATTTTTATTATATCCTGTGTTCTAGAGTATCTTTTACGTTTATAACGATCAAGATCAGTTCAGCAGTTTAAGCGGCAAACTCTAACAAACATCCATCCATCCATACATACTTGCTTTTATAATACCAGTAAGATGTGAAAGTTGAAGAGCCGGTCCCATCAAATTGTAAACAGTCTGACAACAATCTAGTATGTAAAATGTGTGATGGATATATCTGATTATGTTTCTTTATCTGACAGTGACGTCATTTTTAAGCTATCTCAGCCGCTATCAGCCAGTGGTGGGACAGGCCCTAAATAGATGGATGTTTCTTATATAGTATCTTTTAAACGGCTTTATAAATATTGATGAAATATGCTATAAACGTTGAATAATGATTAGTTTTTCTAGTGAAATAAACATGATTTCTGTATATTTCAGTTATTGGACACGTTTCCTTGGGAGATGTTAAGTTGTGTGCGCGAGCAGGCCGTCTGCCGCATGGAGAATATACATTTTACATATTATTTATACAAAACGCATGAAAAGCAATTTGTTGACGGACATATGGTGATCAAAGCTGATGTTGGAAGATATATTATTAATCCAGGTAACATATATTGTGACCTAATTTAAAATAAAAAAATAATAAATCCGATTTACTAAATCGATTAGACGATCATGCAATACTTCAGAAATTAAGAAATAGTAGTTTTTCTTTATTTCTAAAGGCGAGAGAATTATAAAAACTTTATTTTATTGTTTATTTCATATTCTCAATTGCAAATGTCAAAATTACCGTTATTATAATAACCTTGCTTGCTTGCTCACATGAAGGTTTTCCAATTTATTTACCCCATAAGTTTGATAGCGTGAAAATATATAGAATTAAGTGTAGTGCATTTTATTAAAAAAATAATTATTAAAAAATATGCTGCGACTGTTGACATCCCACGCTACGGAGTATTGTGTTTATGCTATATTATACTAGTATCGATATAAAGAGGTTTACATCAAGTGCCAGGATTTATTTAGAACTAGCTTTCGCTCGCGACTCCGTTCGCGTGGAATTAAAAAAACTAAGTATCCCATGTGTTCTTTCAGACTATCCTCTACATCTATGCCAAATTTCATCGAAATCCATTCAGCCGTTTTGGCTACAAACTCTAACAAACATCTATCCATCTAAACTTTCACATTTATAATATTAGTAAGATATGCATATGCTGTTAATCTTTTGTCTATGACATCAGAGAAGAACTTGGAGCGCATGGAGAAGCGCATGACGTCGTTCGTGCAGTACTGGTGCGCGGCGTGGCGCGGCCACGTGGGCCAGCCGCCCGCGCCAACCGACTTCATACAGTATCTCAATGAATCCGACATATTCCTGTAAGTTTACATGTATAAATAACTACTATTGAGCTTCAAAAAGGTATTTTAAAATTAAATTCTAAAAGATGTTTAGTAATTTGCATTATTACTACTGAGAAATTAAAATTTTCTTGATTAGATATTGTAATTATTTATTTAACTAAATTGTTTAATAAAGTAGTAAGATTTTAAACTAAAACAAGCCGAAACTCCAGTACAATTTTCCTTTATCAAGGCATAAATAAAAGTAAGTAAACTTTCTAAAGTATAACTTTGAAGTGTTAACAAAAGGAAAAAAAAACTTCGGATAAACATGATTGAACAATAAAAATAATAATAATAAACAAAATTAAATATTAATTCTTAACGCAAGATCAGGCAGCAGACTAAGAAATAATAGGGTAGAATAAAAGGAATAGGAAAGGTATGCATAGCGTTTTTAATTCTTATTTTCTATGTTATTTATGTGCAGGTACTGCGGGCACGGGGACGGCTGCCAGCTGGCTGGGGGCGGGGGCGGGGGCGGCGGCGGGGGCGGCGTGGAGAGCGCGGCGGGGCGCGGCGCGGCGCTGCTGTCGGGCTGCGGCTCCGTGCGGCTGACGGGCCCCGCCGGCCGCGCGCCGCCCGCCGCCGCGCACCACCATCTGCATATCGCGGCTTGGTACACAAACAAACATTAACTTACGTACGCTTCGAATTAAAAAAAAACAACAAAATTAAGTACCCTATGCATAAGACTATCCTTTAAATCTGTACCAAATTTCATCAAAATCCATTCACCAGTTTAAGCTACAACAAACTCTAACATACATCCATCTAAACTTTCGTATTTGTATTAGCAATATGTACACTAGTTAAAAGAACAATATTTTCTTTTTCCCAGTATCTTTGATTTTATTTTAGTTATCAATTTTAGTGCTACCTCACGTTCCGTTATATTGTTTTACGAAATTGTAGTAAGCGCCATCTATTGTTATAAGCGAAACTAAATAGTGTCAAAATTAAAATTTGCTTTAGTGACATCTATTGACAAATGATTTAATTACAAATGTTGACATATTTTAAGGACTTATCAATAGATGGCGTTGATCATAAAAGGTATCTTAAAGTGCTGACCGCTTTTTTGAATCTTTTTGATGGTGGTACACCCCCTTTACTAGTTGACCTGTGTGTGTGCAGTCCGCTGGTGGTAGGGATGCTGTGGGAGGTGACGGACCTGGAGGTGGACAAGGCGGTGAGTTCGCTGGTGGCGCTGTGCGTGCCGCCGCGCCCGCCCGCGCCCGCGCCCTGGCACGCCGTCGGCAAACAAAATTGGAGCCAAGGGGTGTTGGGTGAGTACGAGATTTACTAGTTACTAGTTAGCTAACCGAAATTCATCTATACTAATATTAAAAAAAAAAGTATTTTAGTATGTATTGAAATAACTCAAAAACTACTGAGCATATTTTAAAAATTCTTCTACGATTAGTAATGTTTATTATTTTTAATGTCTCGCGGACGAAGTGACGAGTAACTAAATGTATAGATGAAGCGTAGGCCCTTCATTTGTGACATTTTTCACAAAAACTAACGCTTAATATAACGACACTGATCGTATTTAAATCAATTGCCAATCAACAAACATCAATAAAGAAAAGAGGTGACACTAAACTTGATAACTGGTGTACCTTTTAAAGTACCATTGAAAAAATGTTCACTTCGTGTATATATTTTTAAATGTCTGTATGTAATAGATACGAATGTGGAGTACAGCGGGGAGGCGCAGTCGGAGCCCGAGGTGCTGCTGGCGCTGAGCCGCGCGCGCTCCGCCACCGCATTCACTATGATCGCCAGCAGTATGGTGGCACGCGGCCTGCCGCTGCACGTCGCACAGCACTAGGTACGTAATGAACAGTGTTGCAACACCAAATTCAACGTCTAATACATACTGACACCTGAAAATACAACTAACCTTAAAAATAGCAATTTGATCAAAAAAGTAATATGGCCAGTGGCCAGTAGATTAACAATTCAACATCTCACTAATACTGACTTAAACTGTACCTTTTAGGCAACATTGACAAAAAATAATACGGTCCATGAAGTTGTAAAGTTGGCAAACCCATTTAATTATTTATTTTTAAAGTTTGTATTTACATTTTGTTTCAGGTAATAAACGTGGATACAATAAGAGAATTACAATCTGTGATGAAATAGATTTAATGAAATTAAAATAAATTAAGAAGTTGAAAAATTGTTTTATTATGACAATAACTGTAACCAAATAGATTAAAAAATGTAGAGGTATAGTTGACACTTTACTTGAGATTTTTCACATGAGCGTAGAGATTCCAAAAATGTATAGAGGAAGCATAGTCACTTCATAAACATTTATCACATTATTTTCTGTTAGCGTCATCTATTGAAAAATCCATTAAACCACGTGTCAATAAAATTGAATTTAAATGAATTGCCAATAGATGTCACTAAATCATATTTTAATGTTTTAATTTGAGTCTTTTTAGTTTATTATGTAACAAGAGATGGAGCTTAATAAAATTTTGTAAAATGTTTTATTACAAGGACACGAGTGGCACTAAACTTGACAACTGATATAGCAACTTTTAGAGAAAGTTCCGATGATTTTTTTTATTCAGTATGTCTTTTCTATATATTTTTTTAACTGTCTTCGTCTGTAACTTTTACAAACACATTGTCATTACTAAAACATACAGTAAATTAAATTTTGTATAAGATTTTAATAACTTTACAAGTATTGTTTATAGAGTGCCTTTAGCTACGGCTAAGCGTGCTTAAAACGAAATGCAAAAGCATTGGCATGCGGGGGCGTGTCGGCATGCACGCATGGAGGGAAAGGGCTTGTGTCTATGCGTGCGCGAGCAGCGAGCGCGGTGGACGCGGCGAGGGCGGGGCGCGGCGAGCACGACGCGCAGGCGGCGGCGTGCGCGTCTTAGCATCCGCGTGACGTTGCATAGCCTGAAAACGAACATTTAAATTAGTGTCAGTAGTAACATTCCAGCAAATATTTTTAGTAGATATGGCACCAATGAATTCACCTCATCCATCTTAATAAGGTCGACCATCTCCCGCAGCCTATGCTCGAGGCTGGTGAGGTAAAGACGCGCGCTGCTTGCCGACACGTCCAGTGTCCCACCCACCAACTTCAACAATGGCAGCGACTCGCACTCACATGACCTACAAACGTCGATTTTTTTTCATACAACAGCTTGCTGTCACTTGGCTTCACCACACTTACTGTGTCTAAGTAAACAGATTAATGCATGTCAATACTGACTGCGCCAGTTCGCGCACTTGGCGCAGTAAAGCTGACAGTGCGTGCTCGCTGGTGGCGCAGTGCAGCTGCGCACGCTCTCGAGCTTCGCGCAGCTGCGACAGCTCGCTGCGCAGCGACTCCACGCTGTCCTGCTGCTTGTACATCCGCGCCTCGTGCTTAGCTTTCTCATCATCTGTTAAAACATTACATTATCCTCCAAATGAAAGAGATCTATTGATTTTGGTATAAAAGAATTGGATTTTTGTTGACCAATGGCGTCATTAAGCTGGTTGACGCTGTCAGCGAGCGCGGTCAGCTCGGCATGTAGCTCGTTCACGTAGTTGAATAGCGCATAGTTCTCCTCCTCCCGACGCGTGAACTCCTGCCGCAGGCGGCCCAGCTCCTGCTCCCCCGTGAACTCCTGCCAAATAACACTTATAAGTATTCACATCACCAGACACTCATGACTGAAATTCTCTCTGTTTTCGAAATCTTATCTATTTGACGTATTATTTCTCGCTACTACTACAGTATACGTATAACAGTATAAAGAGTTTTGTGTTTGGAGAGATTTGACCTTTATAGCGTCGAGAACGTTGAGGTGGTTGTTATAAGCGTGCGCTTCGAGTTCGTGTTTGTGCTGTCGTCGCGCCTCGGCCCGCGCGTCCGCCGCCGTCAGCCGCACCGTGCCCTTGGTGCGCAGGAACTGCTCCAGCTTTACGCTGTGCTCCAGCTGCCGCTGCAGCTCACGCACTTCCTGTACCACAAATACCACTCACTGTTACAAATTGCTTAACCATCTTATTACCTCATAATAAAGAATGTGTGTTAATGCAAAAATAGATATTTTTATGACAGGCGCTACTTTGATATTCCCCAGCTTTAAAGGATCTTATCAATCTTATAGCTACTTGTTGGAAATGCATTTATGCGCTCACAAGGCAATGCTTTCTGTACTGCTGAGCGGCCTGTTCGCGCAATGCGTGCAGGCGCGCACAGCTCTCCTCGCGCAGCTCGTGTGCGCCAATAGCCTGCTCCACCAGCTCTAACAGCTGCGCCTTGCCGGCCATCAGCTTCCGCAGCTGCTTGCGCCATGTCGTATTGAAGAACTGACTGATGACAAAATAGGTTAAAACAAGGCTTGAAGGCGAACAAGCTATTTTATACCTTAACACGTAAACCAAAGGTACTAAGATAAGATTAACCGGTCTTGCAGTAGACAGTCGATCTGCAGTCGCATGCTGTAGTTGTCGCTGTTGACGGCGTTGAACTTCTTCATGGCGGTGTCCAATCGGTTCTCAAGCTGCGCCACCATGCCCTGATTCGTTACCTCCAACGCGCATTCCTTTAACAAAAAAGACTCGAAGTGAATCGATATCGTTTTTAAGAGAATGTGTATTATATAATAAAAACTGCTAAAAAACATTTTGCAAAATATGAAGCAAAAAAAAGCAAAAAGCCAACATCACGCGGTGTTCCCAGGCGGTCACCCATCCAAGTACTGACCGCGCCCGACGTTGCTTAACTTCGGTGATCGGACGAGAACCGGTGTATTCAACGTGGTATGGACGTTGGCAACTATTGTGGTTTATTTAGCGGAAAGCATTTAATTCGGTTCGAATTCTATTTTTAAAACAGCACTATTATAATTTTGAAGTGCTTAAATTTGTATTTAATCAAAATGACTGAAGATAATAACGAATAAAAGTGTAAATTTTAAGAAATTCAACAAAACAGAAATGAAAAAAAAAATTAAAAAGGCAATCTTACAAAAAATTAACAAAAAGCCAACATCACGCGGTGTTCCCAGGCGGTCACCCATCCAAGTACTGACCGCGCCCGACGTTGCTTAACTTCGGTGATCGGACGAGAACCGGTGTATTCAACGTGGTATGGACGTTGGCGACCAATGTCGCTTCATAAACGTATAGTACCCGATTAAAAAAAAATCTAACCTTATCAACAGTCGTTCCTTTCGACTTCAATGCTTTTATTTCCTTCTGCACCTGCTTGAGGAGGAAGTTCAGCTCGGTGATGTTGCTGCGATGCTCACGAACTTCAGACGAATACTTCTCGTGCTCTTTTAGCATAATTAATATCTTCTCTCTGGTTCTGGCATTTTCCAGAACATTCGATGTGCTGTTTGTTAACTGTAATACGAAACAGTAGTGCGTTGTCCAGTTAGAACACTAGTTCTTTATTTTTTCAGCTCGAGGTAATCCTACCTTAAGTTCTAACATGATGTTCTCTAAATGTGCACTGAGTGTGGCCACCATCTGCCGCTGCAGACGCAGCGCGGGCCGCGCGCTTGCGCACACGGCACCTCTCTCTAACTCCATCACACGGTACTGGAAACGGGTCAAAGAAATAGTAACGGAAGAACTAGAAACGTGTGTACGAATAAACATACTTTTTTTAATGTAGTTCCTCTGGTATGGATGTCAATGGTCGATTGCTTCGAGAGCATCGCCAGCCGATAATTTAGATTAGGTCTTAGAAGGGTGCTGGCAGCCACCTGTCTGGATTCCTTAGGCGATCCTCGTAGTTAGCCTACTTCTCTTATTAAGGTTTTTTGGTCAGAGCTATTTCTAACTTCCATAGTATTCAATTTACAACCAAACGGTTCGTGTCTTTTACTGTTTTTAGTAAATGAAACGAAACAAAATTAAAAAAATGATTACCTGTCGCTGCAGCTTGGATAGTTCATCTTCTGCTATCTTCTCCATCTCCATGTCGTCGTTTGGTGCAGACATCTTGCTTGGAACTGTTTATTTCCTGCCAAAGATGTTTTTTTAGAGTGAACTTTATATAATGTGGCAAAGGCTTTAGAAAACTTACTTTTGAGTGTCGACTATTTTGTAAGTTTGAGAGATCGATATAGTCATAGTAACGGTTTCTGTTATAAGTTGTCTGAAACGTTAGTCCTTTTGTTTTTTTTTTACAAAGCTGTGTTGAAGTCATAAAGTCAACATAATATTTTGGGTAACAGAAACAAAGAAAATCGTGTGTGCGTTTTTATTGTAATTAAATATTTTTATTGTTTTGTTCAGATGGACTAGGAATATTCGATTATATAAATACATGTATACCTAACAGTATCGCATTATGTATACACGAAATAAATTTCTTATAACTCAAAAAGAGAAATGATCAGTAGAGACGATAGAGTTGGCGTTTTATTCAAACTAATAATAGAGTACGTAATTAAGATGTGTAAGTAGGAACAGTTCTGTAAGGATTAGTGAGAAATCAAAGTAAACAAATTTTAGCAATCTACATTTTGCTAAGATATAAACCCAATGTATAATTACGAAATATATTGCCTTCAATATATCAAGGCTTTTGTTTTTGCTCCACTTATAATTTAAATGATTTTTATTGGATCGCCGTGAGATCATTTCCTCGTCAACAATAAAAATAAGTATTTCGACATTTTCGCTGTCTGCCACTCTCCGGCGTCACCTTGATGAAGTATATCCGTCTCTGTCCCACGCGAGCCTTCTCCATTTACCTGCAGCAGCTGTTTCAGTTAAGCACACGTGTAGTTTCATGTCAAAGATTAGATGATCACAGTAGCCACTGTAGGTTTCAAATTAGATCTTACAATGGTGTTGTTTTTTGACTTATTGAAATTAATAAAACATTTCATTTTTGTACTTAACTATTTGTAAACAAGTTTTTAGTCGAATTCAAAAATATTTCTTGATATACAAGACATTTTAAAGATCTTTTTTAACTTAATTAAGCAATCAGTGGTAATTACAAAAATCTACAAATCGTCTATCGTGTAACTACTTTGCAAACGTAGTAGTGATTTAGTTTTGCAAGTAATTAAAGTTGTCATTTACATTTGTTACCAAGTGACTGGTCTGATAGGATTTCATAATCTTTGGTCTGTAAGGCTGGTTCCATATCGCAGGTCATAGCTCAGTTTTGTTGTGTCTGTGCCGTCGCCGAGGCAACAGTGCGCTGAGCTGTGCTGTACTGTGCTGTGTTGTGCTGTGCCGAGCGGCCGCGAGTGCGTGTTCAGTGTTGTGCTTACACGGAAATGTTGCGCTTGTGAACAAACCCAGGATATTATAATGGCTTTAAAAAAGGATTTCGATTTACCAACGAACATTTTCAAAAGCGTTAAGCTGCCTAAACCCGTGAAATTGCAACAGGCGATCGAGAAATTATTTAAAAAGAATAGCTACACGAAAATAGTGCAAAGTTAAAATATTTTAGACTGTTTTAGATAAATGGCCGGTGAATCTAGTGTAAATATAAATAGAAGTAGACACAACACTGAGATAGAGCCGCCGGATAGATCGCCTATATTTTTGAAAGACGAAACTCATTTTATTGGTAAAGGGAACAGGAGAAGTTCTACAACGAAACATAGGAGAAGTAGGAGTGTGAGTGCAAATCGGATATCACCGTCGGCGCTGAGCTTATCTGACGAGCACTTTTATGAGGATCTAGAGGATTACGTGCGAGAGATGTCTTCGAAAAGGGAGTCTGTTGAGGGCGTTGAGGGCGACGTATGGCGTCAGCTGCAGCAGAAGGAGGCGGATCTGCTGCTGGCCGCAGAGCTGGGCAAGGCATTGCTGGACAAGAACGAAGAGCTCAAGAAGGATCAGGAGCGCATCGCTGAGGAATACTCCAAAAAACTTGAGGTTAGTTATTATTTAGGTGTATTGTAACAAAGAATGTTTCTCCGAAGTTTATGCTAACTGTTCTTAGAATTAAGTTAGGTGTAAAAATGATGGTTATTAACGTATAGTTAAGCAGTTTTTTATGACTAGCTTTGTTTTTAAGGAAGTTGTAACTTGATTCCGTGAACTTTTCAACACTAAATGGTCGTTCGTTAGGTTTTATTCAATTCTTTGTTTATAAGGCACTGAAAGACTTCGTAATAATTATAATTTCCTAAAGAATGTTATGAAATGTTCTTCATTGTCTGGTCAATTTCGTTTGGAGTCGTTCGTTTTAAACATTTCGACATAACAAAAAAACATATCTTTTAAAGTTTATATTAACAAACGATTTTTCTATTCCAATAACTAAGATAATCGACTATAAAGAACATTGCAATATTGAATGTACTAAAATACTCGCTTCAACGTCTGGTGTTTTATTCTTTAAATAAACTCAATAAGTTATCTAAAGTGCATTTTAAGTACTTAAGTTGTTTCATTAGATCCATTACAATATTATAGTTACAGCTGTTGTTCTTTTAATGTTTAAGTTGAAGTTTTATTTGAACCACCGGAAAAGCCGTGAGTTTTTTATTTGGTAAACGAGCAAGCGACCAACTGAATTCGCCAATATTGTAAGCGACGGCTACCCATAAACATTCGAAATATGGATAGACTGCATTACCTAACCTTAATCGACGGAGTAGGCAACGGACTTAAAGAGGATATTTTCCCTTCCTATGCGTCTCCTCCAGCGACAAATCCACGTTCCTTTATCATCCTTTTCTTATAAGAATTTTGGGAAGGAAAAGGGACTAAAATTACTCTTTTATAATTTGCCTCTGTCGTTTGCAGTATCGATAATTTTTATATAGTTAGAACGAAAACATTTAAAGCGACGTAGCATAACGGTATCCAACTATATTAAAATTTACTATATATAAATGCAATGTGTATTTATAAGAAATGAAAACGTTATCTTCAAAAGTGCTCGTTGCCTGTTATCATGTTATCAATATGATGACATACTGATAACAGCCGCTGATAACTTTGATTGACAGATCATGAAATAGATCTTTGCAAGTGGGATTGGCGCAAATATTTTGCCACGCAATACTAACATTATAAAGGAGAAAGTATGGACGGTTACAAAATTCACATATGTCACTCAGTAACAGACTGTTTATTTGTAATTTTACGCGGACAAAGTCGCGAGTAGAAGCAAGTATATACTTTTACTTTAACTAATGACAAAATTTTATATTTTAATTTATTCCTTTATTGTTTTTAACCCATTTTGCTTGATCTATTGAATTGCTCGTAATCACAAACCGTTAATAAACCATAAAGTTATTTTTTAATCTATGCCCGTTATCGTTATTCATATCTGTATTCAATTGTTTGTAATATAAAAGGACGTGCATTCATTCGGCCGTGGATATAATTTCAGGTTTCGACAAACCAATTTAACAAGTTTGTCGAGTCTTGTTAATGTTTGAGGCTTAGCTAACACTTAATGAATAATTCTTACAAAATATCCATTTTATCTATTCTGCGAAGGATTAGCAAATAAATACCTTAAAAGGTTTTATGTACTAGCTTTAGTCCGCAACTCTGTCCGCGTGGAATTAAAACAACAGCAAGCATCCTATGTGTTCTTTCACAATATTATCTACGTCTATACCAAAACTCTAACAAACATCCATACATCCAAACTTTCGCAGTTATAACAATAGTAAGATAAGGTTTACAATTATGTTATCATTTGTTGTCGATGGCCGCAATTCTTTGTGAATCATCGGACAATGGTATAAACAGGTTTCGGGTTTTACGACTTTTTAAGTCACTTAGCGAAGTAGCGCTAACTTGAAGTGACGAAAACATTCTGATGAAGATGTGATGATTTAATAATAAAATATGTCACGTTTATTTTAAACTATCTTTCGCCCGCGACTCCGTCTGTGTGGAATTAAAAAAAAAACAAAAGTAAGTAGCCTATGTATTCTTCCAGATTATCCTCTACATCCATACCAAGTTTCATCGAAATCCGTTCGTCCGTATAGGCTACAAACTCTAACAAACATCCATCCATCTAAACTTTCGCATTTATAATATTAAAGTATGAAGTATGACAAAATATGAGATAATAAACCCTAGACTTCAATAAATCTTTTTTATGTGTGAATTGTATGTTTTTTTATTTGATTTTAAAACTTTAGTTTAATGTGCTTGTCATATATCAATTTTTATTTTATCTCTATTTAATAAGTGTTTATTATTCATTGTTCAAATCAGATAACCAAAAGATATGAATTGATTCAACATTAACGCAATGAGCTGTAATTTCTTAAGTTTTCTTTGTTCTTGCTCTTATGTGATTTACTCCGTTCAATGAATTTTTGTTCGCACACAAGTTCTTTATAAATGTTAAGTGCAAAATTGTAGTATTTTGATTTATTTTCAAATTAATATAAGTTTCATTATAATCATAAACATATTTTGTTATCCATACTTTAATAAGAATATTATTCATATTAATAATTGTAAGTTATGTTCTTTTAATTTTCTTTTTGGTCAATAAATAGTTTTTTATTTTATTTATTTTTATTTTATTTATTCTTAACCGAGTTAAGGCGCTCTATACGTGACAATTTGCGTTTTTTAGCGGGAAGAAGTAGGCGTGCGGAAACAATGCCTTAAGTTATCTACCATATACTTAATTAGATCCATACAATACCGTAGTTTAATATACTTGTAGTTAGTTTAGCTAGTAATTTAAGTTATCTATATTTCTATATTATAATAATAAAGTGTAAACACACACTTCTTTGTTACCTAAGATGTTAGCAATTACAGCATATTTTTAAATAATTCTTTTTTTTTATAACAAGCCCTACACTTACGTCATGCTTTAGGCTATATAATTAACGCCATTAAACTTAGGGGATAAATATTTTGGACAAAAACCCCAATGTGGGAAAGAGACCATAAGTTGCTGCCAACATCAAGGAAGCAAGGTTGTCATCATGTCTTGTCATTTTGACATTTGTAATTGATAATTTGACAAATGCAAACAATAAAATAAAATTTTCATAATTCCATGCGGATGAAGTCGCACGGGAACAGCTAGTTAACGATAAACCTGTTAACTTAAACTTTGTTAAAAAGAACAATTTGTTTCCAAACGAGATGCCATTCTTACAATATACGCAAAAAGTACTAACTACAGTAATTGAAATTTTCTCTATTGAGTGGCAAAAACTGAAACGCATTGGTATTCGAAACCATTACCGTTATGTATATAAAAACTTGTACATATGTATAAACTGTTTTGAACTGCTACCAATAAAACTGTACTCAAATGAATAGGGCTGCTAATTTCCAAAATAGACCTTACGAATACGACGAAAAAGAACAAAATCCAGTGACTACACATTCTGAAATTAATAAAGCCCGTTACATACGTTCAGTTTTATACAGTCAGATCGTTTAGATAAATCTAACGTGTATAGCGGGCTTTAAAAACAAGTCTGATTTCAATTACGATGTTTACTTTTTTTCATTTTGTAAAAGCTATGAAGTAAAGAGAGGGTAAGTAATATTGTAAAATTATTTGAAAGATTTTATGTTTTGTCAGAAAAGAAATATTTTAGCATAACGTGCAGTTCGTTAAGGGTTTGGATTGATTGGATAAATTAAGACGTCTATCTAAGACTAAGAAGTGGCAACCCTAGTAGTGAGTCAACGGGTTTGAATACGTGCAAGTGAGGTCTGAAATCAGGTTTTTGTGACCTCTTAGGGGACCGGTCGTCGCCATCTCAAGCCGCTGACCGTGGCTTCTGTTACCAATTAATGTCTGCATTTATTTTGGTTTTTCTTTAATATACAGATTGTAATTATCGATGATTCTAGAAACAATTTAGTCCATATTGCTTCTAGTTTTAATTTTATAATACAAAAAACATTTATATCGATATTTTAATTACATGGCGACTTGTTTTTGACACTTATTCTAGGGATTGTCATAAAGGTAACTTAGAGCACAACTTACAAGTATTCAAGACGGTTTAATTCGCGATTTATATACTAAGTTCATTGGCATTACACTTTCGGAGATAGCAAGGTTCACTTATGGATTACGTCTCAAAGAATGTCATCATTTACTTTAACGTAATTTTTATATAGTTTTTAAACGTTTAGATTTTAGTCTAGATTTTGTAACGAATCTCAAACAATCTAATAGACGAAAAAACTTAAAGGGAATTAGGCGTTTAAGCGTGGCCTTATCATTTTAGGTCTATATTTAATTGACGTTCTAGTATTTGCCCGTAAGTAAATTGATTTGCATACGCTTGGTAGAGCGATGCAGTGATTGTTGAGAACAGAGCTGTTTGTGTTGTGCCGACATCGACCGGAATTCATTTCGAGGTCAAATGAAGCCCGCGGTCACAAACAACGAGACTTGTGGGTTAACATTTTTAAGTTCGTCTTGCTTTCTTATGAGTCATGGACCTTCGGTTTATTACCAACAAGCTATTGCCTGCGACTCCACCTTCAGGGAATTAAAATAAAAATAAAATGACCTGTGTCCTTTTAGATTATGATTTACATTTAAGTTAAATTTCATCGAGATTCATTTAGCCGTTTTAGAGACGCAATAACAACAATCAACCCTGTAAACTTACATTTATAACAGTACTAGCTTTCGCCCGCCATTTCGACTGCGTGGAATTAAAAAAAACAAAATCAGGTAGCCCTTCTGTTCTCCCAGATCTGTTCTACATCAATACCAAATTTTATTGTGATCCGTTCAGTCGTTTAAACGGTAAACTCCAACAAACACGCATCTAAACATTGCATTTACAGAAAAGCATAGTTATTAAAAGCTACTAAACTAGCTGTCAATTGCAGAGCCAACGCCATCCTTAGAAAATCTTAATAAATACAGCGTATAAAGTTTACTAAGACTTGTTATATGT